TGACGTAATTCATAGTGTCATTCAAACTGGATTCCTAGGATGTATGGAAGCGGAAATGCAACCGGCAACAAATTGATCAGATGGATGGGTTGTGTCAGCTGCCGCGTCCAAGGTCTGGCTCTTGATGCGCTCCTTGCGCACCCTTCACCTGCGAGCGGAGAGGCAATCGCAAACAGCCACGCAGCTGTCTGGCTGGCTACATGAGGCCACAAAGGATGCTTGACATCAATTTAGAGGCTGACTGGATCAATAGAATGATCAGCTCATTTTATCCGAGATCTATTCTTGTAGACATCACTTTCATCTTCATATAGTGGGAACCAACACGTTTGACCAAGCATGGTGCAGAAGTTTGTGGATAGATGGGATAGCTGGATGGCACAGCCTGATCGAAACACGCTGAGGGTTGTGCCAAAGGTTGGAGCTTAATGGGTTCCCCGACTGAAGACCAGTTGCTGAGTTCAGCTTGGGCTGTCTCACAACAGATCATTTCCCTTGGGCTGTTTGTGTTTCTCCTGTGGGTCAAAGTTGCTCAGCGATGCTGAGGACAAGTCGCATGTGCCTTTGCTGCGATCCAGAGTTGGACCGTCTCGCAGAGCTGTTCTTCTCAACCAATCTCCCAAGATCCTCCGCTTTTCAGCAAGCCTCCTAAAATCTCTCATTTAGCCAGTTGTGCCCCAAGTTGTGCCGTAAGTTGTGTCCGAAGTTGATCCAAGTTGTGTCCCTTCCCAGGTCCTGTTTGGTCTGGTCCATTCAGTGCAGCATCCTTCGTTGGGCGCTGCTCTGACCGTGGCTTCCAAGCAGATGAAGGGCTTCGGCGGCTGTTTCGCGCTGGAGCTGTCAACCGAGGCAGCTGCCAAGGCCATGCCTGGTGCGTTGAAACTGTTCCGAAGTGCCACATCCCTGGGGGGTGTGGAGCCTTGGATCGAAGGTGTGGCAAAGTTGATGGCAACCAACCCCGCTACATGGTTATTTAACTGGACAGTATGGTTGTTCAGACCAGGGGCAGAACATGCCGATGATGGAGGTTGGTATACCGGAGAAAATGTAACAGAAATTGGATTCGGATTTGCATTGAACATTTGGCATTCAGGTGTCACCTCAAAAAACGACAGTCCATCGTGAAAGGATGTATGACACAATGCATGAGAAGATTGGACCAACCGGGTGAACAGCATTCCCTGTGACAGCCCAGCGGCACTGAGGAGAGTCTCATTGAGTGGCGGAGAAAGTGGGATTCTGCCATCTCCCCGTTGCTGCTTCGGATCTCCATTGGTTTGGAAGACTTTGAACATCTCAAAGCAGATTTAGAGCTACATGGCTCGCATATGCTCACATGCTCACATGGTCTTCCCGGAATTTCTTTTGATCACCTTCATTGTGAAAGATTGTTCCAGGATAAGGCAGGGATCAGCCAGGCGCAACCCAAAGGAAAACGGATGGAAAACTCATATGAAAGTCCCCAACAAGAGGGACAATCGCGCGCACCATTCCATACGGCAGATTCACAGTGTTCGCAACAGTCATGATCATCGCATCTGAGGCAAGGGATCTTGAAGGTTTCTTCCAAAGAGTAGATTCTGAGATTCTCACATGGTATGAAGCGAGGAAAAAGGAGTTTCAACTATCCCGAGTGTTGTGCATGAGCTGCTTCGCAATTTGCACTCTTCTCTGCTTCGTTACAATTTGCACACCAGGTCACCAAATTGACACCACCTCTGGCTGTGCCAAGGTGCGGCTGTTGGATGCTGTTGGCCTTCCTCAGTGAGCGGATGCCTGGAGAGGATAGGACTCCGCACCGCTCCTCACTATGTTTGGTATCAACGAGGCTGTCCACGCCTCCTGGAGAAAGCGTTGCTCTGCGAGAGAAAATGGGATGAGAACAGGAATGAGATGGTGTGAGTTCTGGTGACGGCAGATATTTTGATGATGGCTTAGTATTAATTACAACACATTATTCATCAGCACTTGGTTTGTGCATGTTGCGCTACCTGAACATACCTGAACATCGGGCTCAAGGGGCATATCGTTAGTGTGAGAGATGTGGGAGTCACACTGATCCCGCACAGGCAAGGCTCGTGATTCATAGCTGCCCTGCCTCAAAAACTCCTAGCAGCAGCATCCAATCCTTGGAGGCCCCACTGAACCGGCAAGTTCGGTTGGTGGAGAGGGTCAGGCACCGGGACACTGGCGGCAAATGTTTTTCGGATTGTTTCAAGATGTTTCAAGTGAATCCTCTTCACTTCACAGAGCTGTGCGACATTGTGCGACGTAGTCTGTTGCTGTGCGATGCTGTGCACCCGTCAGGTGCATTTTGGATGTGTCCTTGACTCGGTGTCCACACAGGAATCTCTCACATAGAAGCCGTGCATAGCGGTGCATAGCTGCACGGATTCAGGTGACCACTTTGACAGCGTGTGCTTTCGGCACAATGGTCGGGGGTCTCAGAACGCTCTTTTTTACATGCACAGAAGATTGCAGCAAGCATGATGAGGCCAATGCTGCAGGGTAGACTCATGCAGTCAGCAAGTCTAGCATTCGCAACCGATGCCGCTGTGACGTGCAGGTTCACGGTCAAATTCCGCAGGCATGGTTTGTCTCAAACAAACGGAACAGAATGAGGGCTACATATCCACGTTGGTCACACTGTTACTCAGGAAACTAAAGGAACGTACTATTTGCAGCCGTGGACTTTGCAAACGGTGGATCCGAATATGCTGCGTGCTGGCAGGGATGTGGTCTCGTGAATGCCAAGTTGGACGAGTTTTATTGGGAATGGCTGGTGCCCTCAGAAAGTCACAATGGCAATCGCGGGGTTATGAAGAAAGTGACCGTGTAGATCTGGCCCATGCATCACGAGCGTGATCACAAATCATCGCAGATGATATAGGCCTCTATGATGCATGATACTACGGTGTATTGATGACTAATGACTAATATGTATGCCTATTATTATGTATATATATATTATGTATTGTATGGTCATAGTCGAAGTCATAGTCATATTTGTCATATGACATATGCATTTCCTCATGGCTAGAGCTTTTTGATACCCCACCACTTGGCCCCATCTTAATGATCAGGTTGATGCAACCGGAGTCGGTGCAGCTCATCCGGCAGATCATCCACAATGCGGAGGATCCCACTGCTGAGGCGATTCGTCTGGTGAGGAAAGCTTCAACATGTATACAGGATTATACAGGTATAAATGTATAAATGTGAACGAAGATATGACACACACACACATAGATGCTTTCAACTGCATTTCTGCACCACATCTATTTTGATGCTTTTATGTGTTTTCTTGATTTTCAAGAGGGTACCATCCTTGACCCATACTGTTTTGGCTGAAGGACCGTTTTCTTATGTTTTCTTGAACCCTGTGCTTGACCCTTGCTTCAGCCCTTTTTTGAGCGCTCAAACTTTCGGAACACCATGAAAGTTTTTTCATTTCTGGCCACGACCGGCCTCTTTTGGACACATCTGTCGTCTGGGCCCTGGCAAACTTGCGCTTTGAACTCCAACCAATGTTAGAAGGCGGTTTCACTTTCGCAAAACTTGACCCAGGAGCCTTGACCATCATCTATTTCCACCACTAAAACAAGATTAGCTATTTCCCAATCCCATTTCTCCCTATAGCTATCCATACTGTATCCATAGATTACTCTGATCTTCAAACGAAGTTCCAATGGTTGCTCCGACCATGCTCTGAGGTCAGCAGAGGACAAAACTGATCTCCTGTCTGCGCTACCCGACGATTGCGATGAATGCGACGGCAGGCTGTCGCTGCTGCAGCTGCAGGTGCAGAAGGCGAACTCATCCGATGCCACCGAGCAGGCTGCAGCTCAGGGAATGGTGTTAACTAACATAGGCCCCACATGACCCCATCAAATTGTATCAAATAATAGGGGGTTGGAAGACAATTTTCATGTAAACATGGGTGATTCTTGGGATTTGTGTTGATTTTGGATGGTAAAGTTTGGGAGGGTGAGATCCCATAATGCGGTAAAACGTTGGAGTGTGGATGCTGTAGTGAGAGAACCCATGGGCCTGGGTAGACCGGGAGAGAAGAGCACACGCACGCGCACACACAAATGAATAAGACATGAATAGATAAAGAAGTAGACTTATGCATGAACAGATGTGGTAGATACAATTTATCAAAACAGATATTTATTGATATTTGCACACAGAATGTAATGTGCAACAAAAACCTACCAGCCATATGAGATGACACAAATATTTAAAACTGCTGTTTCATGTAACCAGGCTGCAGATGAAGCGTTGAATATTGCAGGTTCCTGCAGCCAGATGTCGCCAGGTGCCGATGATCGCATATCCCAAGAAGTACTGCCAGCATTGCGGCGAAATGGCCTTCTGCCACCGTGCCAGCAACCCGGGCTGTGGCGGCCGCGCCTCTGGCGGAGTGGCCTCCTTCAACAACCACGTCAGGGCCAAGGGATGCAAATCCAATCCCACCTTGACCATACCTAGATCGTACATGAGGGATATCAGCGCCCTGGGCCACTTTGGAGGTGGCAGAATGATGCTCAGAGATATGCTCGTTAGTGGTTTCAACCATCAGAGGAGGAACGGTGGCACGGGTCCTTTGTGGCAATGCATCCATGCTCCCAAACACATCAGCGTGCGCTGGCTGCACCTTCACACCTTCTGCAAAGCCGGAAAGGTGGACAACTTGCCCAACCGGAAGGACCTGTGTGCCGTGATGAGCAATACCATGGATGCGGATCGGATCGCTTCCTACTGGTTGAGGTAGTGACGATCATCGAGTAGTGAGGCGAACTCGGGTCAAGAGTGCTCGAGGAAACTAACACTTGGAAGAGCCTGCAAGTAAAACAGCGCCTTTGCTGCCATGTTTCCGAACCATTTTTGTTGAACGTTTCTGATTTCTCACCCTTCCCATGCACATTCTTGAGCCTCTTCATAGATGTCTAAGACAATCACACCATACCTACCCCTGTTTTCATGTTGGCCCCCCATGACGGTCCACAAAATAACTGTGATGTGAAGGTGCCAGCGCTTAGCGCGAGTCCTCATCAGTTGCACCTGCGTGGCACGCCTGGGGGCAGGCCCCGATATGGCAGAAGCATCTGGGGTTGTCTCAAACAAGGTACTTACCCAATATATCGCAGGATTGATGGTGGGAAGGTTTGCAGGACCTCCCCTATATTACATATGCCCCAAGGTAATATCATGTATGTAATATTGTCATATCATGGTTTCCGGTTCTATTTGCTTCAAATAGCCCTTTCATGCCCTTTCCATTGAACACATGACAATTTTCACAAGGAAAATGACGGTCAACCATCAATTGTTGGGATACCAGCGCCCGGGACGTTCGAGGCCTTCCCCACCGGGCTCACCACATCGGACCAATGTGGGCTTCAGCAGAGATGGCCCTCCTGGCCCTGTTTACCCAAAGAATCCCACCGGGGGCATACCCAATTTACAACCAATTTACTATGAACCCGCACCTGGGGATGATTTTGGCTTACCTCATGGCAATTACATGACGGTAATCATCAGCCTGGGCCTCAGTACCATCAGCATTTGCTTGCACTGGCCCAACCATCAGTGAATTGGATGGAAACAGTGGCAGGAAATCTTCTTATATTTGGGCAGGAACCATGGGTTACCGTAGATTTTCCCCGAACCAATCCATTGAATCAGCTGCCAGATACAGAGCATTCCGCTTTACCATCTCCGTGAGGGCCCCGAGACAGCTGGACCAGAAACCAGATGGGTCGTCGCGAAAATCGGGGACCCCCTAAAACCCAAGGGTTTCTCATTATTTTCCCCATGGAAAGTACCATTTATTTTGTTTCAAATGGGTATCCTGTAGGCCTAATTTTGGGACAAACACTTACGAAGCAGCTGAGGCAGAGCCCTCCGATCACTCCAGCTCGGCCCTTAAGTGCCGTGGAGGTCATACTATATAGTTTTGACTGGCATTCGCTTTGAACATCAGATGAACAGCAGAAGACGCATTCAAGTTCTTGCAGGTACCCTCTGGTAATTTAACATAGCTATTGAAAATAGCCATTTATAGTTGATTTACCCATGAAAAATGGTGATTTTCAATAGTTATGTTAGTTTACCAGAGGGTACAGCTTGCTGGTGATAGTTGGGAATTTCAGATTCCTCCCAGCTCCCAGTGTCTATTTCTCCCTCCATGCCCAGGCTCCGACGCCACCTCCACCCAAGGCATGGGCTGACTGTGATCCCATCACCAATCAACGGTGGCTTCAGGTCCCAAACTGACAGTATTGTGGCATGTGTGTAAGGTCGCATGAGGCAACATTTTTTGGGAGAGATTCCCTGATTCCCTGAAATCTAGCCTCACACCCTTCTTACATCTCTTAGGCTCCTGTTAGGCACCTCCAAGTTAGGTACTACCAATTGCTCCTGAACCAACCCACTCGTGATGTTGACCGGGAAACCTGGCGGTAGGAACCAGAGATGCCATCCCCTCCGCGTGGGCCTGAGGGGTGCAGAACCACAGTACAACTTGTAGCGGAAGTATATCATGATCTTGTGCCACACACGTCATGCATGCACAATACACATAATACATATGTGTGCACACACACATGTACACACATGTACACACATGTACACTGTACACATATATCACACAATTCACATATCAAATAAATAGATAAGTAAATAAGTATATAATAGTATATATATATATATGCATACATACATACATAATATTATACATATACATATACATATACATATACATATACATATACATATACATATACACATACATACATACATACATACATACATACATACATACATACATACATATATATATATGTATGTGTGTGTGTGCGTGTATTTCATTGTTGTTGTTGGTGATCTCCCCACTGTTACGGGTCTGTCTTGAACCTGAGGCCTGAACGTCCAGTGAGTCCTGGAAATGGACCCACAGGCGACATCTGGCGACGTGTCGATAGCTGGGAAGGCTGTATATCAATAGATATCAATAGCCATAGCTACAATAGCTCAGCAAACAGCCTCGAAACATCTTGACCCAACTTGGTAAATGGAAAGGTGACCTCACTATGTTTCTTGCAAGTGGATGGGTAGATGGTTGGATCAAAATCTTTAGGGGTTCTCCTTGAGACATTCGGCCAAGTAAGATGGCTACGTCGGCGACGATCCTTGGCCCTCCAGGTGTGGGGAACTTGATGCTGGCGACCAAATCCCAGGCACCGGCGACAGACGTGCTTTTGACAGGAAGCTAAGATGTCACTCCAAAAGGCAAACACGGGAGGTGGTTACTTTGCCCATCTTTGCCCCCTTGACCCAAGGGGGTCCAGAAGAATATGTTTTTAATTCTTTTTATATGTCAATCGGGGTCAGCCACATGTGGATAGCTGCTCCAGACCATTCCCCGCTTCTGGTGGCCAAAGCGAGATCAAATCTCAGAACTTGCCGGAGCCTCAACAAATGCTCCCCCCTCATCAGCCCCAGCATTGGCACATTTTTTCAGCTGAGGGCCAAGAGTACAAAGATCAGATCCACAGCATCTTTCTCAAGCAGGGCATCACTGATGGTATCAAGACCGCTGTCGTAGTTCGACAGGGATCTGCATGTGTTGCCCTCTAGCCTCTAGCTAATTTGGTTCTTAACATTCACGGCAGCTGGCAAGATCCCAAAGCTACTGCAAATAGTCTATGTAGTACCATTTCGGACTTGCTGGACTCCTTCATATTGTGTGAGAGAGAGAGGGTTGGAGTTCAGTTGTTGATGATATTCAAGTGCGCCGTAGTGCGCCATGGTGGTTGGGCAAGTTGGGCTATACAGTCCTTGTCCAATTCTCTCCTTCCCTGTGAGATACTCAGTGGTCACATTTTCTTGGCAGAGGACCTGGGAGCAGTGTGAGCCCATCGTGACTGAAGTCTTTAAGCTCTCCAAGTATTTTGCTGCCTCCTGGCTTGTGAGAGGAGGGTGGCAGAGAATGTATCCAACCAGCTGTAGTGAGGATCATGCAAGATCATCACTGCGCGCGCAACTTCAAGGGTTGAATGTCAGTACCCCGAGGCTCCAATTTTCCACAAGATGAAGGCGCTCGGGCGGCCAAATTATTTGGAAGCCAGCTTGCCAGTCAAATTTGGTCAGTTGATGTCAATTGCATGTTCTAGCCTGGTGCAATTGTTTGGCACACGACGTCAGGTTGTTTAAGGAAATCCATGCCCCTGACATTTCCAGCCCGCAGGTCTTCTACGATATCATTGACCGCTCTTCCATTTCCAAGCGCGACGTTGGAACCTGAGTCGACTTCACAATCGCATGGCAGCCACTGCGCTGCTCACAGCCACAGACATCAAATTGGGTGATCCATGGTGATCGGACGTCATGTTGTGTGTGCCATTGAACTTCAGTAGGGTACGCCATGACTCTCCAAATAGTTGCAAACCCCACTGCTTACATGAAGGCAATGATGGTAGCAACTCCCGTGCCTATCACCGAGATGATGTCACTCCAACCTGTTTCAGGGCTGGTGGCACCTGCACTCCAGTGGATCATATGCCATTGCTGTTCTTCAGGAAAATCACGGAATATCATTGATCCATTTCGCATTCATTCAAAGCTTTTGCACAGATGCTTCTCTTGATGCTATGACTGCTATGATCGATCTCTTTCTTCACGAATGCTCGGTCCAGAATCTGTAGAAGCCTTCTGATGCTCATGCCATGTCTGATTTACTGGACATGTTGGCCCTGTTGCCAGGGTCATCGGCTGGGCCAACAGGAAAATCCAACCTGAGGATCCCACGCTGAGCTTCTACTCAGTTGTGAAGAAGGCTGGTGACCACAGAGGTTTAGCACCGGGGCGGAAAGTCGGAAAAAACTCTCGAAAAAACGGAGAAAATTAGCAAACATATCAAACATGAGCCAAAGTTTCGTGGCATGTTCACAAATGCAGGATCCAATTTGGGCGAAGGCAGTGTGAAAAGGGAAGCTAACAACACTTTCCCAGTTGTTGGTTTAAATTGCGGCGACCTATTGGCCACCAGGATCACAACGATTGGATCGAGAAGGAGGACTTCGACATCTTCTTGCACGCGATCCTCATGACCCATCCGGGCTTAGAATTTCTGCTGGAAACACAGGCGGGTGATGGCCTGGCAGCAGTAGAATCAGTAGAAATACCGGAAGCACAGACATTCGGAAGGGCAGGTTGTACACATCAGCAACATCATTGAACGAATCATGATATGGCTGATATGGCTTCTCCTGAGAATTGTAAGCTTTGACCATCCCTGGTTCAGGAGTTCCAAGACAGGTACTCCGACACAGCCACAGCCTTGGAATAGCCAGAAAGCTGAGCCAAGAATCCAATGGCTGCGAGCTTCTCAAGTGTTGAACCGTGCGGGAGCTGCTGTGCAGCTTTCATTTGTTGCTGCGTTTCTGCTCCTTTATTCAGATTCATGTTCAGCGAGGTAACCAGCCGCATTTTCTACATCTATGCCACTTGTCCAGCATATTCCAGCATCTTGGGACGTGATCTGAATTGATTTTGAGGACGTGTTCAAGCCCTTTTTGAGGGCTGGTCTTCTAAGGACCGAAAAGGTACTGGGCGAATTCACTTGCAGAGTCGTGCTCTTAAGAACCTCGCACCGACAGCGACCTTGATCGCACCATCAATGCCACCATGCAACGATCACCGAGATCTGCGGCGATACCAGCCGTCCATTATTGAGACCTGGAAGCAGCTGGAGGTACAGCTGTTCATGGGTGGTTCGCGGGTATGGGGTATGGGTCAAGAGTGAAAGCCACTGCTGAAAATGAAGATTTGGTGGTTCATGTGCATCCACTAAAGTATTTTGACCCACACAGATGTTGGGAAACAGCTTGTCTCGGCTTCCAGGAGTTTGACGACATGAAAATGATTCGAGACTACTTCAGCTATGAGCACTTCTATGTCATCTATTGTGGAGAGCTTGGATGAAACAATCTGCAACGGCAGACTCATTCACCTGTCATGGTTTGCTCATGACTTTATAGAAGCTCCTTGGACTATGCAAAGGTGTCCGATGGCACTTTCTTTCGAGACAATTGTATATTTGGATCCCTCTGTATGGTCACGTGAAATCTCCTCGCTGGTTGAAGCCATTGATGAGTGGAACAGCCAAAACCCTTCCAAGATGCAGCTGAAACCTGCTTTCGGAAGGTACTTTTTGGGAGTTGGACTCTGACCATGACTTCTTGCTCGACAAAGATGATTTGCTGAAGTATGATGGGTGCGCCCTGCTGAGTGCTGCAACTGGCCCGGATGAATCCCATCCCCAGAATCTTCGGCATTTCCCCAGGCATGCGCTGTCAAGAAGAACAGTGGACCGCATCTTCAGCGAGGTCACCTGGAAGTGGCATCCTCAACCGTGGCCGTGGGCCATGGCTTCACATGGCTTCACATGGCTTCACATGACACCCGGTGATCCGGGCAGGGCGGAAGGGGACATGGAAAGAGAAACTCAGGTTCACCTCAGCCGTCCCTGGCAAGATGGGCTATGAGGACCTTTCCTAGCCAATAGTTGCCATAGTTGCCATAGCTGTTTTGCGGGTTTTGTTGCGGATTTCAATGGTAACGGGCATAGCAGGACAAAAGATACAATGATGACACTTATTCATCATCATCGCCATCACCATTTTCAAAAAAATCCAAAAAATGATTGCCGAACTATTTGCCGTGTGTTCTCGCTTCCTCTATCACACACCTTCCGTAGTGACAGCATCATCATCGATCAGTTGCATCAGTGAGACTCCATGGCGGTCAGGACTTCATTCATTTTCTGCTGAACGACCAGGATCAGATCACTGCTCCTTGGCTCTGGCGGCTTCATGTGCTCCATGTTGGAGACAACCGGCTGAGAGCTGTCCATGACATTTCTGTGGAATTTCGCCAGTGATTCCAGTGAATGTAAAGTTGATACAGTTGATGCCATGGCATGCCATTCTTGTTGCTGGTTTGCGAGGATAGATCGATTGAGTTCTGGTTCAACATCTTTGACCTCGACGTCTCGACCTTGACATTTGCTGTGTCAACAGCTGGTCCTGGGGATGGCCAGGGCATAAAAGTGCTGAAAATCCAGCAGTTCCAAGGCCGATGGCGTGGTGCGAGATCACGAGCTGTTTGAGCCACAGTTGGATTTTACGATGGCTGCATTTGATGGCTGCATTTTTTACGATGGGATGAACACACAACAATCCTTTGAGTCAAGGTTGGTTGTGTCGCCTAAAGCCAAACATTCACATTACTTCCACCACATCCGTTCTTATCTTTGCTTGTGACGTGCAGCCGTTTTGCCCACAACCATCCGCTTCCGGTGCTTCTCGACTCGTTCCTCGCATCCTTTCCGCGACCATGGCTGACCGCAAGGTGTGGGGTAAGAAACTGGGGTGCTCCATACTGACGGCTCACGTTTCCAACATATCACGGCTGTGTGCGCGGGCGCATCATATTTGCAATACAATATACCGATACCCATTTACGGTTTATTTTCTGTTTGATGAACGTAGACCAAACATGCACAATCTATGCACAAGCGCCCAGCCATTTGTTTATCTCTTATGTTTTCATGCATACCAATCATGCCATGCATACCGCACAGATTTCCACATTCTTTTGGAGAGTTCTGCCTTCATTTTGCAGGCTGTGATCAAGAACGCCGACATGGCCGAGGACATGCAGCAGGATGCCATCGACTGTGCCACGCAGGTTGGGATGACAGATGTGCCATCGCTTGAGATTGGATTGAAAGCTGTAGAAACTGTAGATTCGCAGATGTGGTGAACATAGATGCACGCGACAATGTCAGGCTTTGGAGAAGTACAACATTGAGAAGGATATCGCAGCTTTCATCAAGAAGGTAGGGATGTGGGATGATTTCGCACACTGGTACTGTTTGGCAAAGATTCAGAATGACATTGAACGACATTCACGATATTGGCAGCGCAGCGATGATGATGATGATGATTATTATTATTATTATGATAATTAGTAACATGAATCATAGCACAAATGAAATGATGATGGAATACAATGGATGAGCTCGGAGAATCTACTGGCGGCACCATGGCATCAACCTGTCACCTGCAGGAATTCGACAAGAAATACAATCCGACTTGGCATTGCGTTGTGGGCCGTAACTTTGGCTCGTATGCCGCTTGGCTGATGATGATTCCTACTGCGCTGTTGAAGCGCAGTGTCAAGTGCTCTTGCAATCACAGCACTTCTGCGTTCAACATTATGCAAAACTTCCGGCCGCAATGCCCTTCATTTGAAGATTTATTTTTGGTGTGGGGACATGTGGCGACTGGCTTCTTCGGTTTGACACATCGCACAGGTCACACACGAGACCAAGCACTTCATCTATTTCTATTTGGGCCCCTTGGCTCCCCATCGGTTCCCCATTGGCTCTTTATGTTCAACTCACTGAGCCCTGCATAGCTCTGCTACTGGACGGGGCGGCCAGTGGATTGATTCCGCCCAGGTCAGGTGGCGATTCTGGTCTTCAAGTCCGGATGAGGCTGCAAGCTGCTCCGCAGGTTCCAATCAAAGCATAGACATCAAGAATGAAAGCATTAAGAGTGCTGTTTTGTTCCCAGTGGATGACGACCTCCTTGTTGCGTTTGAATAGACGAAGTCCGAATGCCGTGAAAAGTGTCTGTCTACTGAACCGATAAGCCCATGACATCCCCCTGACAAGGAGACATGGCTCGCACAACTTGTGACAAGTGAGCCACTGTCAGTAGCAATTCGCCCCCCGATGTGCACGGACCCATGCAATGACATGTGATGCGTGACACGGTTGCTCCTAATTTCCAGTAATCTTTGATAAATGAAACCTTGTCAACTTGTGAGAAGTATCAAGTCATCTTGTGTGAATCAATGTTCTGCCGCCTTTGCTAAAGTGCCGTGTTCTGGTGTACTCTGAATTTGATCCAAAAACTGTGGTGGGCTTTCACTCCGTTTGGCTGACTGTGATCAGAACTCATCGCAATCAGCACCTTGAGCATATACAAAGCTGCACATGAAAAATAAGGGTTTGGCACGAAGGGAGATGTAGACATGAACCGAAAAAATTGACCGAAGGCTTGAGTCAAGTGAGTGTAGATTGATGTAGGCAGAAAGCACAATTAGTCGAAACTTGCCAGCATGCCTTTGGCTGTGACGAGTATTTGGCCAAGGAAATACTTCTATGAAGAGCAAGTCCAGCGAATGGAGCCGGGATCCCCAGGACCAAATGGCAGAAAGGCACCCAAGGGCCGTGCAATGGAACCGAGGAAGGTTGCCATGTGTGGATATCCTTGGCATCCTTGGTACATGTTGAAGCTAGTGCCTTGCGCGAAGAGTGCTGGATTACCCCTATCCCGAGCTCCTCCCTTCTATCGGCTGAGGTGCTTGAACTATGAAACCATTGCCTTTCATGACGTTCTGTGTGGATCCTGGCCGGTGAGGACGTGGATTGCAATAACATATGCAAGATGCCTCGGCCCTGACTCCCTTACAAATGGGCGTCAAGTAGCTGGAAAACGCTACAAGGTGCCAGCTACACGATATGATTGGCCCCCGAGTGAATGGTGAGCTGTGACCTCAGTGCAAGGTTAAATCTGAGTTCCATGAATTTCCATTCTCCTGTATACTGCCCGGGTATTGAGGTTCAGACTCGCTGACTTCAAGCGAAAACGAAAGTTTGCAGGTTCATTCTTCTCAATCTTCACGTAGCTGCCTCAGCCTGCCTCAGCCCATCCTGGAAGCTGAGTGAGTAGCATCGTACTCGTAAGTGATGGAAGTTCTGTGCTATGCAACCTGTTGGCTTCAAGATCACGAACTCAGAACACAGCAATTTCGAAGTTGTTCAGTGGACAAGATCTAGGACCGCATTCAGAAGATGGCTCTTGCCAAAGGAATGTTATCCAACCTAAGGCTCATCACGTATATAGTACATCAATGTATATATCATACATCATGACAGGCACAGCAATAAGAACAATCCTATGGCCTGTTATAGCCCCTCAGAAGCTCCACAGCCAGCGATGGTGGTGAAGCAGGTCACGGTTCATGGCCTGGCTAGCCAGCCCAATCGTCCAGACGCCATCCGTCAAGCCTTGAAGGATTTTGAGGATGACCTGCATGCAGGACACGTGATGATCGTTTTTTCATTAGCTTTTCTATTCGGATATGACCAGCTGACCACATGATATCAATATTATCAATTAAGTTACCATGGATATCCATGGATGGCCTGCAAAGTTAAAAAAAACACAAAGATGACCAGATGACCAGCCCTTTTTTTGGGCCCCCCTTGGTACGGCAGCTGCCTGGAGGACTTCGCGTTGGAGGTCCCGGTGCCGAACTCATCGTGGGCGCCTGCGAGCCAGCGGCTGGGCGCTTCGGTGCCTCCACGGAGATCATCCTGGCGGACCAAGTGCTGCAGGTCTTCCAAAAGGTTCACATCTTACCCTACAAGGCCAGATCGATCTTTGATGATTTTTGATGGTTTTTGATGATCTTTGATATGAGCATATCATAGCATATATGAGCTATATGTGGTCAATTCATGACTATATATTTCATGTGATTTATGGATGCTGGGATATCTGTGTTGTGGGGAAGATACTGAAAAAAAAGAACTATACAAAGGAGATGGTTGGCTATTTGACTGTTGACTGTGGGGAAGACGGGGTCAGGCACAAGCTCTAGAAGTCATGAGCAGCAGCTAAGCAATGAACCATGGCCATCCATGACCAAGATTTTGTGCCTCAGGATACGTTTAAATACAACTTTGACCACATGTACCACAACCACATCGTTCCCTACTTCCAGACTGGGCAAGTCGGTGAGTTCACCAAAGGCTTTGAATTCTCGTTTCAAGGTGTGAGATTTCAGGTGGTGGGAGTCCAGCCAGAGGATTCCTATGGTGTGGTGGGAAGTGAAACCGAGATTTTCTATGAAGGGCCGGAGATTGAGCGAAAGGTTTTGGAGCGATTGCAGTTGCTGCCTTTTGAACAGGCGGGTCCACGGAGAAAATGTGCAAAGTGTTGAAGTTTAAACCGACAATAACCGACACATTCTTCAATGTCACTTTAATGACTTTTTGAAGTTTGCTTGACATGATCACCAAGATAGGTTGGCTCCTGGTTCAACATTTATCCCCCTGCTAGGGTTTGCCAGAGAAGTATCGGCCCAGCAAACTGTCCCTGGACGAAGCCGGGCTTCTGAGAGACTTCGTGCGGCCTTATTTCGAGCAGCGCTCCACGTCCATCAAAGCTGGCGACATCGTGGAGATCCGAAATGTGAAGTTTAAAGTGATCACCACGCGGCCCGCGGCAGGTGGTGGAGTCGGCAAGGAAACGGAACTGGCGTGTCAGGGTGTGGCCCTGAAAGAATCCTTCCAGCCACCTACCAGGGCAGCTGCATCCAGGCCAAAGGCAGCTGCAAAGACAGCTGCTGCGAAGGCAGCGGCGCGAGAGGAGTCGCAGCAGTGCCAGCTGATGTAGCGATAGACAGCTGCTCTAGGCACCATGAACGGAAAAAAGTGACTGCAAGAAGCTGATGACTGATGAAGTTGATAACTTGGAGAGTTGGTGTCATTTACATGGGCCCATTGGTTGTAGAAAGGAAATGCAAGGAGCATTTGGGAGGAATATGGAGCAATGAGAGATGAAATCCGTGGAGGCTAAAGGATCTAAAGGATAGCGTTGCTTGAATTTGCTGCTGAGGTCTTTGAACAAGTTCATGGCCTTTGAGAATAGAGACCCTTTCCAGGCGAAGCAGGCAGAACCACGGAACGGGCCGCAAGATGGAACCACGTTCGAACACCAATACCTCCAAAACTCGAACCCCCAAAATCCCCGGCCACAATGATCAATCTAGTTTGTGATTTGGAAGAAAATAGGTCCTGGACACATATGCCCATATGTAAAAAGATGTACAAAGGAAACAAGTCTCTAGTTGCTGTCCACTTTTTAGATCCCCACCCCATGGTTCACAGCAGCCTCAGCTGCACATTGGCAGGAGCAGATGGAGAACCCGGGGAGCACGGCTTGGCACAAGTGGTGTGCGGATCAATATCTCAGGCGCCCTGGGGCCCTGGGGGAAAGAAAGTTCCCCTGGTCATGAAGTGATGGGCCCGCTATACCTACATATAGGGTGGCTAGCCTTATGTCCACCTCTATAGCTTATTCTAATGTTTTTTAAACTTGAAAAAAAAAGCAAAAAAAAAGGAAAGCACATGGAAAATCAAAAAGCATAACTTCAAAACCGAAAAAAACAGGAAGCAACATAAATGGGAAAAAAATGGAAAGGCAAAAAGGAAAAAAAAAAAGGAAAAAAATGGACTTGTCCATTTGCTTTTTTTTGCATTTATTTTGCTTTTTCGATTTGTTTTTTTTTGCTTTTATTTTTATTTTTTTTGCTTTTTTCCAGGCAAAAAGCCCAAAAAAAAAAAAGCAAAAAAAGCAAAATAAAAGCAAAAAAAAACAAATCAAAAAAGCAAAATAAATGCAAAAAAAATGCAAATGGACAAGTCCATTTTTTTTTCTTTTTTTTTGCCTTTTGTCTTTCCTTTTTTTTCCCTTTTTTCCCCTTTTATTTTGCTTTTGTGTTTTTTGGATTTTGCTGATTTGCTTTTTGTTTTTTCCATTTTTTTTGCATTTTTCGCGCTTTTTTTCAAGTTTTAAAAATAAGAATAAGCTATGGTTTGGTGAACATAAGGCTAGCCACTAATTATATCTAATTATAATGTTACTAAATGGCCGTGCTCTTGAGAATCGTGAGTGCCCGTGGATCAATGCATCAATGCAGGTTGGCAATGGAAGAAGGTGAAGACATGGATGATGGTGCCGATTGATAGCACCGCCCACCATCACAGCGGCCGGGGCCCTGTCTCCTGATGCCTTCAGTACGGTCTTGTCCAAGAATGGGGTGCCCTAACAAATCAAATGGTTGCATCAGTTGCATCTATATGTGTTTCTCACTCTCTCTCTCTCCCTCCCCCTCTCCCTCCCTATATACGAACTGTATCTTTGGACATGCCCATGTTGCTGTTCACGTGATCGAATTTTTGTGTCTCCAATCCGCAGATGTGTGGGACCGGAGCTGCTTGGCCGAGGTTCCAACAGTCGAAAATGGGCTGGATCAAATGAGATTCTCGCAGTGCCATCCCTGGGACGTGATTCTGGGATTGCAGGACGCCAAATGCCAAAGAAATACATTGGTTTCACCCTTCACCATCCTCACCGTGCTTGGAGGATGCTGCAGTTGTTCGCTTGTGATGGAGCAGTTTGGCATGACTAACCCCAATGCTTGATGACTATTGATAGTAACATCTGCAACATCTATGGATTGACATCAGCAGCCAAGCAAGATTAATGAATGGATAGATAGATGGAGATAGACAGAGATAGACAGCGATAGATAGAGATAGATAGAGATGGATAGAGATAGATAGAGATAGATAGAGAATGATAGAGATAGATAGAGATAGATTAGACTAGAGTATCTAGATTAGATAGATGGGTACGCAGATAGGTAGATAGATAAATGCATCCCATGGCGATGGAGAGAGACAGCTGTAACCCACCCACACACACACATGTTTGTGTACATACGTTCAGTCAGTATCTTGGTTTGATCTTCGTACTGCAGCTGCACGCTCCACGGCTGTGTGATCCCACGCGGTGAGCGCGGTGATGATCAATTCGACGTTTGCTCACACAGATTAGAGGGTTCAAAAAAGAGTCATCCGAAGCTTCCCTGCTTCAGTGATCCAGACCATTTCGGGCTCGTCATCTCAGCAAGCCCATCGGGATGGAAAGCAAAGTGCTGTCATAGGAAAAGCAGAGATCAGAAGTTTCATGCCCAAATGCAGTGAAGAATGAAACCTTTCCGATGCATTATTTGCATTTATTTGCAGCAAACTTCCTGGCACCACGAAATGGTCTCGCCGTGCCAAGAAACCGAGAAATTATTTGCTCACCGCCATTCGTCAGGAGCTGTGCGTCTCCTGTCATGCTTGCATGATCTTGCATGGCTCCTGTCACAGCTGCCTGAAGCTTTTTCAGATGTTGAAGAAATCAGTCAGACGCTTGCATCCAGCGCCGCATTGCAACTATCTCTTGGGAATCAAGGCATGCCTTGCCCATTTTACAACCGAACAATACCAAACATCTATTTGATCTCCAGCTTTTGATACATGTACAGTACATCCGAGCTTGTATGAGCTTGTTTCATTGCACAGTTTGCACAGTCGTTCAACATGAATCAGCAGCCCAGATTTACAGAATCATCACAGTCATTGCGCTTGCAGCGTTGCCATGTCGCCATGTCGCCCCTGCCATGGCCCATCCATTCCATCCACCGGAGGCTCCTCGTCCGGAGCGCCAGGTGAGACGGGCAGTGGCGACGTTTCAGACTTGCGCAGACCTTGGGAGGGCGCATTCGTTTCCTCTACCGTTACCGTTGGATGAGTTCTCCATCGAAGCCACCATGGATCTGTTGGAAAGGGCAGGTCAGAAGTTGGACTTCCAGCCAGAAGATTTGGTGGCATGGGCAGTTGATCAACCAGAGACAGCAAAGTCCAAGGGTCCACAGAAGTTCTGCCATTGTGGCCTGTCCACGCCACAGGAAGAGTGTTTCCAGGCGCTCTGCCAGCATCTGGGGCAGATGGTCGCAGATCAGCGGCGCAAAGGCCAGCTTATCCTGTTACATGTCCAGCGCAAAGCCGCTGGGTGGAGGGAAGATCTTCCCGTCAACGAGCCATCACCTGCTGCACGGTTACTTACTGCATCTAGTCCCATCGCAAAGGGCTACGCATCCAGCAGTGAGTTGGCACCTCCGAGGGTCCAAAAGTTGCAAAAACAGTCGCCGGGAGACCTGCGGTTGCAGGCGCAAGGCTTATGGGCGGCTTTGGAAAAGGCCAAGGTCTACATCCCGCCCCTCGAGGCTGAGAAAGCCAATGACAAGTTCCACTTGGAAAGGCATGGCCATGGCCGAGGCAATACCAAGAGCACTAAGAAACGGCGAAAACGTCAGGATCGTCACGACCTCTGCCGGTGTGCCCAGTGCCATGCAGTGACCTGACCAGATCTATAGGGAATAGCCAGCAAATCATGCAGAGGACGGCAGGCAGTGGTGAAGGTGTCCTAGTATTGCGTTCAAAAAATCCCAGATGCATGCATAATGGAATTTCATGGATTTGCGCGTGATTTGTGATTATATATATATATTTATGTCATATGTATATCCCTTTTGGATCTTGGAAATTGGTTTACTTGGTGGGTTTGGTTCCACCGTTCCAGGTCGCCTGATTCTGCACCTGGAGCAGCTGGCGTTGGACAACGGCATGGAGCTACCTACGTCCAACGTTGCGGGCAGAGAAGTGCCAGGAGACGAAAGTGATGGTGACTGGGTGAAATGTGCGTGAAAAATGTGCGTGAACCAAACGGACGGCTGTGTGTGCACACACAGAAATAAATAGATAGATAGACAAATAAATAAAGAAGCAAGTAAATAATGAATAATAAAACGCATCCACACGCGCACACACACACACATATAATATATTATTATTCCACGCGTATGTAGAGTGAACATGTGTAAGTAGAAATCTTGACACACACACACACAAACAGAGCGCACACGCGCGCATGCACAGATGGGTGTATACATCGATGCAGAATGGACAATAACCCATCACCATCCACCACAAGGGGAATTCCATTCAAAGATACCCGATTTTATGGCCATTGAAAAAAGGGAGAAGAATCTCATTCCGAACAGTAGGATGGAAAGAGATTCCAATTTTTGAGATGACCCCAAATGGGTTGAACATGTCCTCAACTTATCTAGGCACCTCCGAATGCGTAGAAAAGCTGGACGCCTGAAAACTGAAAGGGAAAGATCATCTATAACATTCTGGAAACAATCCATCTTGGGGTTGCTGAAGTGGAAATGGGTCAAAGAATGTGAAAGTCTCAGGTCTTTGACACTTTCATACACTTTCAATACAGAATTTCATGCATGGCATCAATGGAGAAGCCCGGAAGCCCGGAAGCCCAGGCAGTTCTTCCGCAGACCACTGACACCTCCAGTGCTTCGTCCGTGTTGGAGCTGTAGCTCAGGCGTGGCTGAGAAATGGCAATCCAGGGCGTCCAGAATCATGACATCACCGTCACCGTCATTACAGAAGTGATTGAAAGGAACCTTTATCCAGGACCCCCTTGTATATTTGGCAGTAGATTCCATGGCATTCTTGTAGATCTCCTCTGGAAAATCAATCATTTGATAGCGAGATTGGACTTTTAGAGCACGTCATGATGGTGCGATGATGTGCGAAGAAGTTGCCTCGGCTCAAGCATTGGATTCATGCCAAGAAGTTTCTGTGCGGATCAGTGGGCCCGCATTTAGACATTACCGAATCATTATTGTACTTTTGTTGGACTATGATGAGTGCAACCTGGAAAAACCTTCCAAGGAGTTGCGCACATATCTATATGATTCTGTATGTACAGATGTGTATATCATACGTATCGATATACGTATATGATATATGCATACATACCTGCATCGAAAGAATATGTGCTATGTGTGTGTTATATACAGTTTTTTTTCTTAATAAATATGCATATAGAATTATATATATATGCGTGTGTTATATATAGTTATTTTCTCGAAATAACTATGTATATATATATATATGTGTGTGTATGCATATATGCAAATGCATATGCATATGCATACATATTGATGTGCAAAGCTAATCAAAGCTACTAGTTGTGGATTCCGGAGGCGTGTGCGCTTGACTTCCTAGAGACCATCAATCCAATCTTTCATTTTGGGATTTGCACTGCTCAAGCGCCTGCCGGATGGATGATGAGAACTTGGTTCAACTGCGGTGGTTCTTGTCCATCGTCATTTTAATTCTGGCGCTGCCTGGCAATGGAGAGATGGGATCTGGAGTTGATGTGCCGTAGTGACCGAGGATCATGAACTACCATGACGGTCACCATGAACTACCCACCTTTTATCATTCTTTTGTTCACTGGATATCTGCACGATTGGAGCCTCCACATCATCGCCATTAAGGGTCTCAAGCAGATGGACCCTGAGTGTGGACAACACCAGGAAAACAAGTACTGTAATTAGTTGGCTGGTGGTGCGTAGAGTGCGGCCAATTTTAAAAGTATAGTACATACCGTTATTATAGAAGATATTCAGGAATTATCGGAAAACCGATCTTCTATTTGAAACGGGTTTGGGCGCGCGGAAAAAGCCATTTCAAATAGAAGATAAATTAATTCAATGGCCCAAAATGGTAGAACATCCGGGATGTTGGAGCTACTTTGGCACTCTCCGCAACCATGGTCCCGGGAGGGTCCAAACTAATATCTTCTATTTAAAAACCATTTAGACCAACACCAAAAGCACAAACTTGGTGGATCATCCAACCGAATATCTTCTATTTAAAAAATGGTTTGTCGCATCTCCATACCGTTATTATAGAAGATATTCAGGAATTATTTCAAGTATATAGAAGATGCATTTTGGGGGTGCGACCAAAGGCGTTTCAAATAGAAGATATTGCAGAGTGCAAAAGTAGTTCAAATGACCAAAAATCCAACAATAACTGGAAAATAATGCCAATATCCTCTATTTGAAAACGGAATTTCCGTTTTTTTGGGCTTGTGATGGGAACCTCTGGAAAATAATGCCAATATCTTCTATTTGAAAACGGGATTTCCGTTGTTTTTTTTGGCTTGTGATGGCAACCTCTGAAAAATAATATCAATATCTTCTATTTGAAAACGGAATTTCCGTTTTTTTGGGCTTGTGATGGGAACCTCATTTGAAAACGGGATTTCCGTGTCTTTTTTGGCTTTTCTGGAAAATAATGCCAATATCTTCTATTTGAAAACGGGATTTCCGTGTTTTTTTTTGGCTTGTGATGGGAACCTTTGGAAAATAATACCAATATCTTCTATTTGAAAACGGGATTTCCCTTTTTTGGGGCTTGTGATGGGAACCTCTGGAAAATAATGCCAATATCTTCTATTTGAAAACGGGATTTCCGTTGTTTTTTTTGGCTTGTGATGGCAACCTCTGAAAAATAATATCAATATCTTCTATTTGAAAACGGAATTTCCGTCTTTTTTCTGGGCTTGTGATGGGAACCTCATTTGAAAACGGGATTTCCGTGTCTTTTTTGGCTTTTCTGGAAAATAATGCCAATATCTTCTATTTGAAAACGGGATTTCCGTGTTTTTTTTGGCTTGTGATGGGAACCTTTGGAAAATAATACCAATATCTTCTATTTGAAAACGGGATAGAAGCGGGACCCGGCCGAAGGTTCTTTTGCACTCCCCTCTTCGGGGGGTCACCCGGGTCTGGGCGTCAATGTTCTATTGATTTTATTTAAAAAAAAAATCCCTGCAAAAAATCACAAAAAATGGCAGTGGGACAAAAGATCTTCAAATAGACGATATTGCAAACATCATCCCAATGTTGATGGTTGCCAAGTGCAAAAGTAGTTCAAAAGACCAACAATCCAACAGTAACCCCTTCAACATTGGGATGATCTTTGCAATATCTTCTATTTGAAAACTGTTTTTCATGCATTTGGGATCTGTCGAACTCATGGGGTTGCAAATGAATATCTTCTATTTGAAAACCATTTTGTGGAACTCTCTGGGTTCCCTCATGAAATATTATCTTCTATTTGAAAAGTGTTTTTCAGTACTCCTCGAATATCTTCTATTTGAAAAATAAATTGCATTACAGATTATCTTCTATTTGAAAAGTGGTTTGAATCACCATCCCTCAATCAAAAAAGCTAAAAAACCCATGGTTTTTGAACAGTTTTTCACCGACCCCCCCCCCCCGAAGGCGAGAGTGCCAAAGTACCTCCGGCCGGGTTCCACTTCGGGAGGTACTTTGGCACTCTCCTCTTCGGGGGGTCACCCAGGTCCGGGCGTCAATGTTCTATTGATTTTAGATACTTTCCCTGCAAAAAAACACAAAAAATGGCAGTGGGACAAAAGATTTTCAAATAGAAGATATTCCAAAGATCATCCCAATGTTGAGGGGCTTATTCTTGGATTTTTGGTCATTTGAACTACTTTTGCACTCTGCAATATCTTCTATTTGAAAAGCGTTTGGCCGCACCCCCAAAAAGCATCTTCTATTTGAAATAATTCCTGAATATCTTCTATAATAACGGTATGTACTATATTTACTGCTATTTTGTTTTGAGTCATCATCATCACCATTCATGCTTCTCATTGCGGGGTGGGTCCAACTCGATGCCTCTTTCTTATGGTTGCTACGATGCGGAAAGTTCTCGTTCACTTGTGCCTACGCACTTGATGCCATGCTACTGAAAATGATCTTGATCTTGCACACACACATAATACACATACTTGATGCTGCCCTACTGAAAATTCTTTGTGCAGGTGCACATATACTTGGCGCTTCGCTATTGAAAGGACGCTTGCACACGTACCTGATGCTGTGCTACTGAAAATTCATGTGCACTTGTACGCATACTGCACGCTACGCTACTGAAAGTTCACTTGCTCTCAATGCATAGATCGGTACTGGCGAGCGTTGAAGTTTCTGCGAGCAAGTATTTTAGTGACCTTCCAATTTGATCTTAAGCAAGATGAACAGAAAGGCACAGTGTTTTGGAACATTCATGTGCCACGAAACCTAGCGGCGTTCCACACACCACATACCCAGTAGTTGATGAGAGCCCACGTGTTTGAGAGAAGTGAGAACACCTTGTGATTTAAGCGTGTTACGTGCTTGGGTGTTGACCCTGGAAAACCAGTTACATGCGTACCGTGGGGTGTGCCGATATGCCCAGAAACCCAACTGAGAGCCTCAACTGGAAGCCTCACCACCGCCGCCCAAGGTTGATAGCTGGTACCAAAGCTTTACTGCGCCAGTCTGGGGCTCAGCTGGCGATTGCCAACAGATCCTGTTTGTATTGAGATTTGATATTCATAAATCAACGACTTTTGTCAAACAAAAACGTTTACAAACACATTTGCTTGGGTCTTGCTGCTTGAGCCATATGCTTCAATTCCTTCCGGTCCCCCACCCAAAATCACGGATTCTCCCGTGAGGCCAAGCCCAAAGACAACGCCCCGAGAAGGCAGCCGACTTCTGCGTGATGCCAAGAATGCCACGGCAGAGCCAAGCACCGAGGTGGGCAACCGGACCTGTAGACCATCGGTTTTGGCTGTTGGCTGTTGGCTGACATGAGCTCATTTTGATATAAAAAACGTACATATACATGCACATATATATATATACACATACATACATATATATATATATATATGTGTGTGTGTGTGTGCCAAGACATACTTTGAGGATTTTTAAAGATTCTTCCATGTCCATACATATCCACTGCTATTGAAAGTACTGAAACTTGAACTACCAGTGTTGGGATTTGCACCTATCTCAGCCAGGCAGCCTCTCCTGTGGTGGAAATGAAGGCTGCTTCATCCGCTGAAGCTGCAGCAGGAGGGAGTGAATTAATTATGGAGTCCGAAGCCCAGTTCTTGAATGATGCTTTGCAGGCTTGGAAACGATGATTTTTAAAATGCAGAGGAAACTCCACCAACAACAGATCCCTGTCTTACAAGGGGGCAGGGCTGGTTGAGACAATCACATCTTATCATATATCTTTAAGTCAAAGCAAGGCTCCTTGGACTCTGCTAGGTCAGTTTAATTCAGTCCATCTCAGCTTGGTGCCGCTTCTCGCCAAGGCCGGCTTCGCATGGCCTCACTCGTTTTCGGCTAGCGCCCAGAGACTTGGCTTCAGCACCAGAATGGGAGCCTCAAACGAACTACGACAACCTGTGGGAGGTCAGGAACACTTCAGATGCTGCCAATCTACTGGCTGGGTGCCCCATGGATACCATCATCGCCTGCAGCTTTCATCGGGCATATGCCGAACATGGCTCAGCACAAGATCGTGCGATGCGGCAGTTGGCTGAAGCGAAACCTGCAGGGATGGCATTTGCAACAGTGGATCTGCAGCTTGTTCGGCATGGTTCGGCTGATGTGGGAGAGTTTTGAGTTTGTTCCACTGCCGATTTTCAGAAAGGCAGCACTTTACAAACCATCGCTCCTAGTTATGGATTCCCTATTCAGGTCCTGCCAAATCCAAGCAGTGTGTCCAGCTGCCGCTGGGCCCAGGATCCAGGCTGCAGATGTGGCGGACTGGGCCACCGTGAAGGATCCGGAGGTGCGGTTGCTGCAGCCCGATGGCACGCTGCTGGAGCGCTTCCTGCCAGCAGCTGTGGCCAGCGGCCAACTGCACCGTGTGGCCATGGTGAAAGCACAGGAGTTGGCCAATGAGGGTATCAAAAAGTTGGAGCTGCTGGCTCTGAAGTTTCCAGGCAAGGTCTGCTTAGCATGCTTAGTTGCTTTTTATTTGAACATATTTGAAACACATTCTGCAAACTATGGGGTGAACTGCATCTGGTTCATGTCAATAGAGTGCTGATTAAGCCGGGGATCAACGGTCAACGGCTCATGAGCAAATAGCTGCCTCGCACCAAAGCCTCAGGTGCTTTGCATGACGAGCTGGGAATGGCAGTGGCCAAAGATAGCCTAGAGAAGATGAAAAGCGCTGCCTTGGAATTGGTCGGGGATGAGGTTGACATGTTGGATCAACTCTGCCAATGTGTCTCTTCAGCTTCAGTGCCTAGAGCCAGGCATGTGGCAAACCTGGCCAGGGTCATTCGGAAAGCTGGAGGAGCAGCGAAAGTTGTGCCGCTCTTGGAGCCTTGGCTGGTCTTGTGGCATAGGAAGGTTCTGTTTCTGTTTCAACAGGATGAACTACTGTAATGTCATGTAATATCTGTAATTATCCACAAGTATCACATCTTTGTGCCCCTTACCCAATTATGAGCTGCCAGGACCTGAGCCGCAGATTGGCCAGTGCAAAGCTGCTGGGAGGGGCGGAGCCAGGAGCCATCGAGGCTTTGGAGCGTTTGCTGAATGCCATCCTGCTGAAGTTTGAGACGGCGGAGCCAGGTGAGGGAAAACCCCCTTGGGAATTAGGGAAGGGCTGAGATGGCTCAAGGCTTTGAAGGAAGCTTGAGGGCCTAGCAGTTGGGAGCGTAAAGACACATATACAAAATTGTGCCGTGCGGTTGAGCACACGCAAGAACCGAAGAGTCCAAATTGAGCTGATTAGAATGATTATATAGAACAAAGAAGACAAAAATGATCCACGGTGTCATCTATAAAACCCGTCTGGAAGAACATCAGTTGCCTGTAGAATGAAGCAGCCTTCCCTGCTGTGGCCGAAAACATGTTTGGGATGTTTGGGCAGGTGCTCCCTTCATGCTGGCCTTGCAATTCGTGAGCAACTGCTTCCACCAGTTAGGGGAAGGTCTGCTGCCGCTGGTGGTTGAGCTGATGTCGCTGCCACTGTGGCGGGCTCTGTGGCAGTCAGGATCCGACAAGTGGCTGGACCGTTGCCGTGATGCGGCTGCCCAGCTGCTGCTCAACGGCTCGGTGGTGCTGCGCGGGGCCAGGTTGCGGGCCAGCCATCGGCCGCTGCTGACGCAAGGCCTGGTGGCCCTCAAGACGATGTCGCAGGATGAACGGGTGAACTGGGCCGTGGGGAATCTGCTGGCCATGGGCGGTGGCACAGACGATGCCAAAGAAACTCTGCAGGCACAGCCACTGAGGTCCCTGAGGATGCTGGCAGCTGCCATCTTCAATGGACAGTTGGATGGTCCGGAAGGTGTAGCTTTCCCAGCTGCCTGGCATCCACCAGAGGATGGCACACAGCGGGATGGCAACGTTGAACGGAGACGACCGCGCGCGCCCATTCCAGGGAGGCATCGCAGGCGCTCTGGTGGCTGAGGTTAGTGAAATCTGAATTCTTCATGCACTGGGGTGGTCCTTTTGAAATCTTTAGCATACATTTGCCCTGTGCTGAGCAGATTAGCCACCACCCAGAATCTACCAAACCCATTTAGTTGTGAAACACATGGAAAAATGCAAAAATAGTGATGCATGTGAAAGAAATAGCGCCAAAAAACGCGAAAGAAAAACAACCAACGTAAAGAATGATTTGCAGTTTTTTTCTTTGTGTGTTATTTTACCTGCCAACACATATGAGTAAGGATCTTAAGGAATCAGAACAATACTGCATTAGCTATTAGCAGCTATCAACAGAACCTTGGCCATGCTGGCTATCCAGTGCTTAAAGCTGGTGATGTGACCAATTTTCTGACGGAAAAGAGGGGCGCCCCTGGCATGCAGTGTTTAAGGGATGTCTCCAATGCGAGTGAAGGCTGGCAACCAGACACTTGAAGTTGAGATCAGTTCGCCACTGTCAGATAGCGTGCGTTTTTCTGGAGTTCAGTCGATATCAAATCTAAGAGATCAATGCAACAATGTGAAGCTCCAGCAGTATCCCACATATTCAAAGGCCACTCTCTATGTATTTCTTTGAAGAATGACTAGGATCCCAACTTCAATCAGCCGCCTGAATGCACCAGAGATGGCATCCTTTGTGTCAACGAGTGCTGTGAGCGACAAAGGCTCGTTTCAGCAGTGAAAGTTCAAAAGGGCTTGCAAAATTGCTTCCCTTTCAACCTGGCCGTTGTTGAAACATGTTGAAACTATCTCTTTGAACTGGTTTCCTATGGTTTCCTCAAGAGAGTGGGACAGATCCGTGGTGTCGCTGAATTGGAAAGTGGGGCTTCTTCTTTAAAACTCCCTGGAAAATGGTCAATCATCGCACTCGCATTATCGCTGTTGTTGACAACACAGTCATCATGAGCATTCTTCTCACCACAGTCGTGAAACGCGCGTGTCGCTCGACTCATTGAAGCTGCCACTGATCCCAGGTGCCAACGTCCAGCCCCTGCAGCTCCACTTCGCTCTCCAGAGACCTGAAGGATCACGACTGCACTAAGGAAGAAACCGTTGCCGATGCAGCTGCCCGACATTACGCATTTTCCGAGCAACATCGACCAAGTGGCAAAGATGACCAAGTAATGAAGTAAATAAGTGTGCAATTACTCACTTAGCATGAAGTGCTCTTGGCAGGTGTATTCGTAAATTGAAGGAGTTCGGATGCAGTGTATATAGACGTCGCCAGATTCTACTCCGATGCCTTTTCGGCTGCAGCTGAAATTTTGGACAGATTCTTGGGTAGGACTTAGGGTAGGAGTCTGGTAGGAGGGTTGTTGGTGGGCTGTTGTTTCTCTTGGCGTTTGGGGCCTGGCACTTAGATGTGCGAAGAAACCATCCCACATCTGGGAAATTGGTGCGCTGAGGTGCAGTGTGGATGAAAATAACCCTGAGATATGAGGACAGGATTCGTGGCAACCTGTGGTCCCCAAACCTACCAAGATGGTCCACTTCAGGAAGAACATCTACAGATAATCCAAGGATTTTCTCCTGATGGTTGCTCATGACTCTTTCAAAGTGCCACTTGCTTGCTTTTTGACAGGAGGCCTCGACAGAGGAGATGACAGCCAGCGACTTCGCATTGTTTGAGCATCTGAGCATCTTTGGATACGTAGCGACATGTGCAATGTAGATGATATCGGCACCCGCAAGGCATCAAGCCTTTGTTAGAAGAATAGGTAGAACTTGATTCAGAGTAACTTATTTGATTGATGCTCTTTGCTGATGACACCAGGACCTCCACATGACGCTTCGGCTAACTTTACCTCAGAAGTACCTGAACGGGACCAACAAGGAGGCCAATGGAGATTTGAGGATGAAACTCATAGCTTCTCTTTGCATCTCTTTGCCAAAATTTTGTCATGCGGCATGGTCTTGAACTCTCCGTACGTCTCCAAAAAGGGATCAGTGCCAAAAAGTCCCTGTGCACATGCGCATCAGTTGGGATCAGTTGGGATCAGTTTGGCAGGTTGTAAAACTTTTTGTGGACCACTACAACAAGATGCCTGGCTCGCACTTGGACCATGTACAATCAAAGACTGCAGCCTGAATTCAATGCCCACAGATGCCCACAGTCAAAGCCGAGGAAGAATGCAGAAAAGTCATCTCCACTTTCAACGGACGACTTGCACTTGAAAATTGTCATCTCCTTACGACTTGAAAAGTGGACCAGAGCGGCTGAAATAGCTTGGCCTTCTTTTTGATCATGATTTCGATCCTGGACGCTTCTGCCAAAGGTTGGTGGTGATCATTTAGACAACGAAGAAAGAGTTCGGGAATCCTTGAAGTCTTGCGCTTAGCTACGAATAAATGTAAAGTGCCATCCGCAAGACAAATTTCACAATCTATAAAACTCTGCATGTGAGTAGTTTATTTTGCCAGGGCTGGCGATGAATGCTACCTGCTGGGAAAGGATTCTGAAGGGTTGGTGCCTCAGACAACTGATCCACCATCGATGTGCACCTACAGGACCTATCCTACACATTCCGCACCATGCGTTCGATGCATTCGATATTGAGGCCCAAACCAAAGCCAGAGCAGACTGAGGCCAGTGCATCCTGACATGACAATTCGCTGATTTTGAAAAAAATGCATTTGCTTTTTGAGGGCTACCAAGCCGCGCCAGTTTGCACTCCGGTTGAGAAGAAGGCTTGCATGACTTGGGCCTTCTTTTGCTTTTGGGGGGGGGCAGGGCGGGCCTTTAATTGGAGAATAAGACTTCTCAGAGGCAGTCAAGAACGCCGATGGAAAACTTCGGCAGCAAACTCAGTGATACAGATCAGCTGAGTGGTTCAACCCAAATATAACAGCAAAAAAGAAATGACTGGAACATAGTTCCTGAACACTGATACCAACTTCATGCAGCTGCTCGAGGTGTAAGAATTTTGGTTGCCAAAAACTTTTCGATCCGGATGGGCCAAATCCTCAGTGGCTGGGCCTTTGGCGCTATTTCCCGAGAGACCACTGCAATGAGGCCTCCGCAAGAGTGCCAGCATCACAAGGTTCGAGCGACACTTTTTAATCGGTATCGTATCAACCAACAATTAGCCACACAGAAATCCACCTGAACTTGAACCGCATCAAACTTCATGTTTTGAAATTTGGAATTTCAGTTGGAGGCCATAGAATCGATTTTTTTTCGGAAATTCCGAATTCCAACGATGCGAAAGGGCGGCTGAAGGGAATTTCCAAGGCATCGAAGACCATGGAAATCAATGCAACCCAACACCTCGGCAGGCTGCGCCTATATTCCACGAGACTGCAAAATGGTGGTTTTGACCTTGGCAGCTGGGTCGGGACTGGGACAGTTTGTGAAGATGTCAGATGCGTTTCTGATTTTCAAGGAGGTTTTTCTTTGTTTTTCTTACTCTTGTTTCATGACAACAATTGCTCTGATTCAACACATTTTGAAGATAACTAACTGTTGCAGATGTTTGCTCTCAAATGCCCACAAGAACGAACAAAACATCACGACCGTGAAACAAGACCATGCGACCATGTACATTTTGTGATTTATCATAATTATTCATAATTGTTGATGAACTTTGTACACAGGGAACCTGATGAGACAGGGGGTCCTTGACAAGTCCTAAGATTTGTTCTCGCAACAATTCCTGACTCCTGCTGACCCTTGAGGTCTTGCTGTCCAGATAGCAAAGCGTATGACTTTGACGAGCCGGAGACTCAGTGGGAACAAAAACCAATCACATGTGTCAACTAAGAAATGGCTGACCCGGCTCCATTCCGCAGGGCAACCAAGTTTCTAGTCGTTTCTAGTCGTTTCTAGTCGTTTCTAGTCGTTTCTAGTCGTTTCCAGCTGCGTGCAGCATCCTTGCCTTTGTGAACCAATTTCCAATTCTTAGATTCTTATTTGGGAACCGGTTCTGCATCAAGTTGTGCCAGACAAAAGATAACTTCTTACACTCCGAAGAACGTGATGTATGTAATGTATGCCAGTGAGATGGAATTGTGGATGACCAAACAGCGACGACTCAGTAAGAAACCCTGATTGGTGTTTGTGAAAACCTATGGGCATGCTGGCACATGGCCAACAGAATTGTTTTGGGACTGAGAAAAACACGAGGTTCCCTCGTGTTCCCTCAGGCTATGCTGGTTCGTTTTTTTTGAAGTTGTCAGCCTCAAAAATGTGTTCACGACATAGACTTGGGATTGTGGATGACCAAGGCATGCAGTGAAATAATGTCGAAGTAGGGACACCAGATAGGACATATCATTGTTTGGTCTGGCGCAAGACTCCAACAAATTCCAACGAACCGTTGTGACGCTGCAAAATAAGTGATGTTCCAATGGACAGTTAGTTCCTCGACGTTAAGGTTCATGAAAATCCCTGGTTGCACGCAGGCCGGAACTGTTAGTGGATTAATGCAAATTCAGTTGTTAAGGCAGAAATCTGGCAGAATTCCATTGAAAAATTCATTTCCAGTTGGTGATGCAGAATTCCATTTAATTAACAAACAGCTGGACGTTTGAAAACTTGCACTTGAACATTTGATTGTTTTTGCTTCAGTTGTCTGCCATTTTTCCCTCTTGATTTTGCCAGGGGTTTTGCACCAACGAGTCCCAAGCGAAAAAGGCGGGGTTAGTTACATGCGCTTGTCAGTTACATGCGTTGAACCGCAACCCATTGCGAGCTGGACAATCGATCAATCAACCTTCGTCATGTCACTTTGAATATTGACCTGGGCTTTGAATGGATGGATTGCTTTTGGCAAACTGCAAAGGGTAAAACCTAGGAATTAGGTAGCTACTGTAGTTAGCTAGGCAGTTCACTAGGTAGAGACGGCATGGCATGACAACAGCTCATGACCGCAGCCCCTTTTGCACAACCGTGCATTCAAGGAAGGAAAAAGGTGTCACTGTGTGGCAGCTTATCCAACTAGCGGGGTAGGTAACTTGTGAGAGCCCAATACGCTGACCACTACCAGCTTTGCTTTTGCATGGTAGCGGAGCTGCGTGGGTAGCCCCACCGCTCCAGGCCAAAGAGCGGGCAGCTCCGCCGGCCAAGGCCGCGGGCAGCCCCGCCTAAACTGAGGACAAGCCTACGTGGCCAAGGCTGCGTAGGAGAGTCCAAACAAAACGGCTTCTCGGGATAACACCTGGGAATCCTGGAATAGGTCGACCCCTTGGGACGACCGTGACTGGCAAGCTCAGGACTGGGCAAGCCGTGGCTGGGTAGACTACTCCCAGCAAGAACCCAGAGCTCCTGCAACAAGGGACGCTGGGACAACCACTGACAACAGTTGGCGGGGACGAGGCCGACCGGACACGGATCGATCTCGCAGCAGTCGATTCACCCAAGAAAGGAATCGGCGAGGACATCGCTCAGTGGCCAGGACAGAGGCCAGGATCCAAAGGGGTCAAGAGCGAAGAGCCGCACGGGACGCGGCAGACGCAGCAGCAACAACAGCAGGGTCAGGCCAGTCCACGGACGCGCCACCTGCTGAGCCAACACCGGCCGACCCATCGGCCGATCCACCAGCCGATCCTTCGGCTGAGCCAGACCCACCGGCACCAGAGCCGGGGTCAGTGCCATCTTCGGCGCTGGACATCGGGTCAACACCCGACGCACCCGACGTGCCTCAGACCAACCTAAGGGTGGAAGAGGCCAAGAGGGAAGTGCGGGTAGATCCGCCTCCGGGACGCGCTGCGCTCGAAGCAGACGAGCGCGCACCGGTGAAGTTGGTCCCACAGGCTGAAAGGGCCAGCTCAAGGGCTGCAAGGAAAAGAGCCCGACTTCAGAAGGACTTGGACGAAGCCAAGCAGGCGATTGATTCGTCTGAAGCCCCAAGCCTCTCAATAGAAATCCTGCAAGACGCAGGCATAGAAGTGGTTGACTGGGAAGCTGACATCTCAAGTGAAGAGAGCTTTGAGATCTGCGTTCCAGACCCTGTGTTTCAGGGCAAGGATCCAGCTGACATCCCACAGCCACACGTGGAGTCAGCAAGCAGCTCCAAGGAGCCGCTGCAGAAGTTGGCCGCACCTCCGCTGTACGCAGCGGACGTCCCCGCGCGTGCGAGCCAGCTCACTCCAACAGTCAAGCAAGAGTTCAACAAAGCTCTTGACTTGTGTGAGCAAATCCAAGGGGCTTTGAGCCAAAGCCAGAGTGATCACTACGAGGTGGTAGACGAGAGACCACCGAACTGCAGAGAAGAAGATGGAGCAGCAAGCCGCGCAGATCCAACTGCAGATGGAGGCTCTAGCGAGTCAGGTTCAGGCCTTGACTACCGCTCAGCAGACCCAACAACAGGTGAATGCGCAGCTGTAGCTCGAGAAAGAGCAGCTGGAACAACGCCTCAACGTCGCGTTGGGACAATTGCAGCAATCCTTGCAGAACGGAGGCGCAGCAGGCGCAGTTCCCCAGCCGAGCGCGGGGAGCTCCGCCGGCACCAGTAAACCTGTCAGTCATATAGACGTGCTCAAGTCTGTGAAACAGCCTCAGTCCTTAAAGGACAGGGAGCAGTGGGAACGCTTCACCTTTCAGGTGGAAACCTATCTGGCACTGATCAATGAAGAGTTTCCCACAGACTTGGAAGAAGCACGCAAAAGCACCACGTTTGTGGACCCTGTAGATATGACTGATGACTGCAAGGCACGTGGCAGACAGCTTTTTGCCATGCTGACTTCCTGGACCCAGGAGTTAGCAGTAGCTGTGAAGATAGCCCGTGGAATTCGAGGACAGAACGGTTTTGAGTTTTGGAGGCTTCTGTACCGAGAGTTAGCCCCAGATAACCACTCGAAGAGTTTGATCTGGAGACGCTCGCTGCTTAGCCCAAAATTTCCCTCAAAAGAGACGGAATTTTCTGCGGCGCTCCAAGAGTGGGAGGCCGACTTAGACAGGTACGAAGCCGAATACGGCGCACAGAAAGCAATAAGTGATGAAGATAAACGTGCCGTAGTTCTGACCGAAGCTCCAAATGCCCTGAAACAGCACCTTTCCATGCACATAGCCACGCTGATCACCTACCAAGCTGTGCGCGAAGTGGTGGTGTCATACTTGCAAGCCAAGCAGGTGTGGAAGCCATCGGCCGCGTATGCGGGTAGCACCGCACGCAGTGATCCCATGGAGATTGGACTCGTCCAACACAAGGGAAAAGGTAAGGATAAAGGTGGCAAAGGAAAGGATGGCAAGAAGGGCAAAGGGAAGGATCAGAAAGGAAAAGGGAAAGACACCCACTCGAAAGACAAAGGTGGAAAAGGTCAAGACAGCAAAGATCGCTGTGCAATCTGCTGGAAGGCCGGCCATACCACTGAGAAGTGCTGGTTCAACACAAAAGGTCAGGAAAAGGGAAAGGGTAAGAAGGCAGTAGCAGCCGTGAATGAAGGTGACAATGCCTCCATTGTCTCGGCTGGTCCCTCGGCATCGCAGGTTGGGGGCAACAATAGCGTCATCACCCTTCCTTCCTCGTCTTCGACGTCGTACAGAAAAGACAAGAACGTCAGTAAGATCGGGGAACACCGACTTCTCATGGTAAAACCCGGCCACAGCGGGCAGCACCGCGTGGAATCAGTTTCACCTCAAGCCATTTTGGCAACCCAAACGGCTGGCAGCACAGTAGTCAGCCAACACCAGCAAAATGCCATTTTGGCAGAACAGGCCATTTTGGCCAAGTGGCAGGCCATTTCGGACTGCAAAGACAAACCAGGCTGGCATGACCTTGACACGGACACCAAGGTGTACGTGGTACGGGGGAAAGCTGGCACTCAAAGGAGGTATGTCACACCCGGGCCTCAATACTCAGATTTCACTCTGAGGTCCACCTGGCAATGGGACTATGCCGCCGATGCATGGGAAACCAGGGAGCTTGGAAGGAAATGGAAGCTTCTTCAAAACCCACATAAGGCATTTGCGGGAAGCAAAGTATGGGCATTGCATGCTTTCCAGAGAAGCACGCCCAAGATAGCCAGGGTAGCGAGCAGAGGCACGCTATTGGTGGACACTGGAGCATGCTGTTCGGTCTGCACCCCTGAGGCCTTTCAGACAGCAGACCTCGACCCAAGCGCCACAGAGGAGCTCTACACAGTAGATGACACACCGCTGAAGGCGTGCGGGGAGATCCGCCCCAAGTTGCGACTCGGAGAGCAGCTTCAGGAAGAGGCACAGGTCACTTTTCAGGTGGTCGAAGGTGTGAATGAGAACATCCTGTCAGTCAATCGAGCCCTGGACGTTGGAGCCAGCGTCCACTTCGAAACTGACAACTGCTACATCCAATGGGCAGATGGCAGCATCGCCACGTTCCGGCGAGAAGGGAGACAGTTCCTGTTGCCCTACGAAGAGCTGGATGGCGGAAAGGGCCAGGTAAAGGTCGCAGCCATCAACCCCGAGGATGAAGAAGCAATGGCAGTTCACCGCCATGCACTCCAGGAAGATGAGGAAGCCGACGCTGTGCGAGAGTTCGCCCAGCAAGAAGCGGACGCCGCTATGCAGGCGGAAGATCCCGGCCTGCTGGCCGACTTGGAGGAAGCGGCAGACGAGCCGGAGCCGCCTGAACCAAGAGGGCTACCTCAACCGGAAAGCCCCACAGAAGAACAGCGACAGCAGCATCGGTTAACTCACCTGCCATTCGTGCCATGGTGCGAGGAGTGTGTGAGCGGGAAATCCCGCCAAGACCAACACAAGCGAGATCAGTCAACAGAACGAGATCAAGGTGTCTCGGTGGTCCAAATGGATTACTTCTTTCTGTCTCCAGAACGGGAAGAAGAGGTAGAAGACGAATCTCGTCTTGTGACCATCTTGTGTTTAACCGATACCGGCACCGGATGGCCATTGACACTTAAACTCCCCAACAAGTCTGTGGAGGTGGCTCAGTCAAAATACTGCCTGCAGAACATCGACCTCTACTTCAAGAACTTGAGGTATGACAAGATCATCCTCCAGCACGATGGCGAGCCCGCCATAAGAGCCCTAGCAAACAGCATCCAACGCCATGTGGGTGCATCCAAGGTCTCTGTGCGGGAAGCTCCGCCGAAGCAACACCAGAGCCAAGGAACTGTGGAGTTGTTGTTGTTGTTGTTGTTGTTGTTGTTGTTGTTGTTGTTGTTGTTGTTGTTGTTGTTGTTGTTGTTGTTGTTGTTGTTGTTGTTGTTGTTGTTGTTGTAAGCGGACGTCAACCTGCTCCTCACCGAAGTGAAGTAGTTAAGACGCCATAGTATGCCATCTGCGAGAATCAAGTTCCCATACTTCTCCAAGCAAAACTCAAAAGAAGCGAAACCTGCCTGAAATAAAAAAGAAGTAAACACAGTGCGCCAGCTAGCATTCCGCATGGAATGTTTGTTGATCAAGTACGACTTGCCAAAAAGGTAAAGTCCGTAGCCTCTGCAGACGCCAAACTGCTGCAGCCCAAGCCACGGCTCGCTGATGTCGCTGCACAGCCGCAGCGATCATGGAGCGTGAGTCACGCAACACCTCACATGCCTGAGCATCGGCTGTCGCATTGAGAACGCGGCAGAGATGAACATCAATCCAACCATCTGGTGGTGTCCAGTCAGGCACCTTGTTGTGAGAAGGGATCCAAGTGCAAACAGTGCCCTGAATCAATAAGCCGCTGATCCGCTGCCAGAAAAGCGGCAAGTCACCCTCCCAACGGCCAGTGCTAATGCCTCGCTGAAGCCGCCGCACCAAAGCCTGATTGTCAATCAAGAGCATCACCGGTCTGTTAGCTGCAGAAGAGGCTAAACAAGCTTGCAGAAGAGCAGCACGCTCACCTGCAGCAGGTGTTTGCTCAAAACCAGTCACGGCACCTTGAACAGTGGTGCCTGAAAGTGTCGAAACCGCCCAGCTAGCTCTTTGCCATCGATCACAGGAAGTAGCTATGATACAACTGCCGTCCAAACCCAAGGTGGGTCGCTGAAGAGGATCGAATTGCTGAATAAAAGTAACCAAAGCAGGATCTGCAACCATGTTGGAAAAAGGCAACACAGGAGGAGCATCCACAAGTGGAACCAGCAAACGACGTTCAGTAGCGCTCCTGAACTCACCATCCCATGGCTGCGCTTGGCAGTGAAAAGTGAGATGTTCTCGATCAGGAGACCGCAATCCACATTCACAACTCAAAGCAGAACCAAAGCGCTCTGTGACCCTGCCATCCACTGCAGCACCAGTCAAAACCCTGCGACTGTAGTAATCCATGCCTAAAGCTGCATTTGCCTGAAAAAGAAAAACCGGCTCCTTGCCGTTTGGCCATCGACCATCCGTTTTGGTGTCTTTAGTCCACAAACCAACGAGCCATGAATGGATAGCGGCCTTTTGCAAGCTTTTCAAAGACATCCACCCAGGTTTCAAAATCCCAGCAGGCGTGTGCCACAGGCCATCGTCAAGTCGCCATTTCCAATCTTTGAGTACTGCTTTCCAGCGAGGAGCAGGCGAGGTAGCTGCAGGCAACCCTTGGGCACGGCGGCATTGCCGATTCCATTCCGCCCGGGCGGCGGTGAACTGGAGCGCAAACATCGGATGTAGTCTTGCAGAACCCAAAGAATTCCAAAAGAGCAGCCGGCTCCTACCTGGAGGAGCCCTTCGACCCCAAAGTGCAGTTTCGATCATAGATGTCCATGTTCGAATGGTTCTTGCACTGAAGTGATGAAAAGCACCGGACCAAGCAAATAAAGATATCACCAACTTATGCACCAATGCAATGCGAGTGCCTAAGTGCTGTGCTGCCAAACGAATTTTGAGACACCGTCGCTGAATGTTGTCACTGACAATATCCGCATCAACACAAGAACTGGGGCGTGACAAATTGTATTGAATGCCAAGCAGTGTGAAAGTATCCGCAGGTACACCTACTAAATCTTTCTTCTTGCGCACCTTGGCAACCAGATGCGGTTTGGTGGCGAAGCTAGCCAATTTGTCAGGGTGAAGTTCGAAGCCGAGAATAGCATCGGCTTGCGCTCCCGCAGTCATGGCGTTGATGACCACTTCAAAACTTTGACAACCTTGTTTCCACATGGTGCGATCGTCCAAATAAATAGCCAAAGAAATCCTTGGTTCCTGCCGTTTGACAAACCTCACCCAAACTGTCATCAAAGCGTTCAGTAGCGCAGGGCTGGCTGGACAGCCTTGCAATAAACCCCGTTGAGCAAAAACCGGATGAGGGTGATAAGAACCTTGCCAAGCAAACCAACGACGCTGTTCACTGTAAAAATCAGCGAGTAAATCACAAATTGATGAGGGAGCACCGAACCATCGCCACACTTTAATGGCTGTCTGAGGGCAAACTGAATCAAAACACTTGCGAACATCAGCTTTGCACCCGACCAAATCGACACGAGACTGCTTTGCCGCGCTGACAGCTTCGTAGAAACGTTCATGGACTTCCATGATGCCCTTGCCTGGTAGACCACCAAAAAGTTCGGGCGAAGCCCATTCCGCAATCCAAGGCTGTAATTTTTTCAGAGTGGCACTCATGCAAATACGCCACAGGACAGTGACAATGGCTAAAGGGCGCATGCAACCAGTAGCTTTTGGTAACAAAGCAATTCTAACATCTTTCCACATCGCAGGAACACAGCCATGTCGCAAGCAAGCATCCCAAAGAGCACCGACCTGATCCCAAAAAGCAATGGGAAGATTGCACAAATGGAGAGCTGTCCAGGCATCCATGCCCGGAGCCTTGTCCTTCGCTTTGAGCGCAATCCGAACCAATTCAGAACCACTAACCTGAATACAGTCATCCGGCAATGGATCGCTTGCAGAGCCAATCTGAGAGTACAACTGGTCCCCCAGATTCAAATTCGGAAGCGACCCTGGATTCCAATACCTCTCCCAATCCAATGCTGCGCACTTGGCCCTATCTGCAGGTAGAATGGGGCCATCAAAACTTGCAGTAGGACTGGCGGGCGGCACCTGTTTGACCCACCTGCCTAGTTTGGTGGCATTTTCCTGCACGCTGTCCTTCCACGCCTCCAAGCGTAACTTGGACGCTGCTGTAGCTTCTGCATTTGCCAATTCTAGCACTGCACCAACCAACCTGGGGTCATCCAAAGAGAAAAAAGCCAAAGAATGATGTAAATGAGGGCCATCACGAACCAACTTCTTCTCCAACTCGAACGGATTCGCAGCTTCGCAAATCCGGACTCTGTGGTTAGATGTCAGGCAGAGGTATCCTGAGCTGGACGTGAGCAGCAACCTCACGCCATGGCTTGTGCGCCACGCGGCGTGGCTCATAGCCAGATACCACACACGCAGCAGAGATGGCATGACGCCATACAAGCTGGTCACAGGAGGTGACTACAACCATCCTGTAGCCACATTGGGAGAAATAGTGCTTGGCAAGGTGCCGAGCCCCAAAGGCAAGATCCAACGCCGATGGATCAAAGGAGTGTGGCTTGGAAAGCTGGACAGGGACGACAGCAATGTGCTCGGCACAGCGTCAGGTGCAATCGCTGTGCGGTCCATAAGGCGACTGCCCAAGGAGGGACAGATCAGCTCGGAGCTGATGGCAGCCATGAAAGGAACCCCTTGGCAGCCGAGAGATGGCGTGAGGCATAAGATCACTCGTGAGTTGTCTCAGCCAATCGCCTTTCCAGCACCAGCCGCATCGGGTAGCCCCGAGCGAGAAGAAGCAGCAGATCGGGAGCATCCGACGCTGGCAGTGGACGGACACAACGTCGACCACGACGCCCTCGTGGTACAAGCCGCGGCACAGCTAGAGGAAGAGCTGGAACCGATGCAGGATGCAGAGGAATTTCCAGATCTAGCGGGTGGCCCCGCAGACGTCAGTCCCGTTCCAACAACGCCAGCGGAATCCGAGATTGCAGATCCTCCGCCGCCCGAGCATGGGCCGAGCGGGTCTCCACCGCCCTTTCGGGGAGCGGGATGGTCCTCAAACTTGCAAAGTCTTCCCAATGAACCCATGAGTCCATCTGGATTGGGGGCAGGAGGGAAACGAGAGAGGGCTAATCCGGGAGAACTGAAGACCGGCGAAGCTGATGCAAAGCAGCCCCGGCAAGCAGGGATCTTGCAGCACTTGACAACCAAAGAGATCTGGGAGAAAATCCAGCAATGGGGAAACTCAGAAGAACCGAACAACCCAACAGCGATCCAGCGAATTTCAAATGTGACAGAATTCGTCGATCAGATGCTCGACCCTGAGGAGGTATCCAAAGCCCGAAAGGCACAACTGCGAAAGCTGTGGGAGCGAGGAGCGTTCACTCCCATCCACAGAAAAGACATACCCCAGGGATCGCAGCTTTTTGGTCACAAATGGGTAGACAAGTGTTCACGAGGGACTTACAAGTCGCGCTTCACATGCGCAGACGTTAAGGCGCGATACACCCAAGAACAAGAGGCTGAGCTGGATGTTTTCGTGCCACCTCCAACTCCTGAGTCTCACAATGTCTTAGAAGTATATGCCCTCATGAACAAGTTCTACACGAGGAGCTTAGACATAGTTGCAGCCTTCCTCATAGGAAGGGACCGGGGCGCAGCACAAGGTAAACCGGTCTATGTCCGAGCACCCATCGAATGGTGGGATCTCTTCCTCGAATGGCTCGAAGAAGTCAACCCGGCGGATCGGCAGTGGTACAAGGATCGGTTCAAGGAAATGTGTTTCCGGCTGGATGGAAATCTCTACGGTCGAAGAACGGCCGGATCTGTGTATAGAAACGAGCTAGAAGAGATAGTGTGCTCGCGGGTAGACCCGCAGCGGTATGCCTTTGTCAGGGGTCAGAAAGATCCGTGCATTTTCCGGTGCACCAAGACTGGCATTGTACTGCTGCACCATGTGGACGACATCCGCGCAGCAGGACCTTCAGAGGCCCTAGCGCATCTCTTCGAACAAGAACTACCGCGACACTGCGAAGTGCAAGCGGGAGAACTCGAAAAGGAGGGAATGGCAGTGGAATACCTGGGACGCACCAAAGTGCGCAGTGAAGATGCAATCCTCACCATCCCAGACGAAAAGCACAGGCAAGCCGTGATCTCCGCAGCGGGTATCTCCGCGCGTGACAGGAGTGAGGTTCCGTCCAAACAATTGAACCTTCTGGAAACCACTCCCCTGTCCGAAGAAGAAGCAAAACGCTATCGCAGCGCAGTAGGATCCGCGATCTACCTAAGTTTGGATTGCAGAGACATACAATATGCTGTGAAGGAAGCAGCGAGACACATGTCGCAGCCAAGGCAGTGTGACAGTTGGCAGGGTGGTAGCATGTGATCCGCCAAGTGCGACTGGCGAATGGAGCATAGAGTTGTATTCCGACTCAGACTGGGCAGGGTGCCTCGAGAGCCGGAGGAGCACCGACTGTCATGTGGCAGTAGTCTGTGGAGCTGTGGTTGCTTGCACAACCCAGACGCAACCCGGACTGCCAGCTACTAGCAGCCCAGATGCGGAACTGAGAGGTGTATCCAGAGCAGCCAGAGAAGCAATCTACTTGCGCGATCTCATTACCTTGGACTTTGGCCAACTGTGCGGGAAGCCCCGCCTATGGACCGACAGCTCGTCGGCCATGCAGGCAGCGAAACGCATAGGTCCAGGAGCCAAGTTGAGGCACCTGGAAGTCTGTGAGTTCTACGTGCAGGGAGCGATCCAGTCAAAGCAGCTCGCCTTGGGAAAGGTGAAAGGAACGCTCAACTGTGCAAACTTTCTGACGAAACATCCCAAGTCAGGGACTGAGGTAAAGCAAGCCCTACCTGGACTGGGTATGTGCGAAGCTCACGACGGAGAGGATGTGCTATCATCCACAAAGCGTCTCTCCGTCAAGGTCTCGACTGTGACCAAGCAGCATGCTTGGAAGACTCCGGTCCCAGCAAGCGTTGCTTGGATTGACAACAGAAAGGACCGAGCGGGTAGCACCGCCCCGAAAACAAAGGGCAGTGTGAACTACATCAAGTCATTGGTGATTCTCAGCCAGATCACCGCAGTGCGAGCGCAGGGACAAGGAAATCAGTGGATCAATCCAATTGTCCTGTACATCCTCGCGCTCATAGGCTTGTTAGCCATCTATGTGAAGCTGTATCAGCTAGGAGTGCTGATCACAGACTGGCTATTCCCGCCTGAAGGCGAAAATCAACTTCCCGAACGGCCCGAAGAAGTTGAAGGAGCCGAAGTGCAACTTCAGCTGGATAGTGTTACGGTGCGCCTCAACATCACCGCCTACCGAGACGGTAGACAGCTGAATATCAGCCAGACGGTGAATGCGCCAGCGGCAGCCCTGCGGCAAGGTTCCGCGGAAGCCCCGCAGCCTCAACCGGCGGAAACCCCGCGGCAGGAAGAACTAACTCCTAGTCGCATCGAGCGCTGGTCAGAGGAACAGTGGGTACAAAGAGGGGCAGAAAGCAACATGACCCTCCAGGAGCTGATCGAATGGCGCAGGCGCGAAGAAAGGCTGATTCATGGGCAAGACCCAGACTCCAGCCAAGATGAGCCAGGTGAGTCAACTTCGCACAGTGCGGACAGCCCCGCCTCTGAGCGGGATGTACCGCCTGAGCGGGAGGAACCGCCTGAGCGGGTAGCACCGCCCGAGCAGGCGGAGCCGCCGATCTCCAGTTCCGGCCCGGAGCTCTTGACGGGAGACCCAGCCATTGAGCGGGAAGCTCCGCTAGATCCCTTTGATGGGATGAGTCCAAATGAGCTCCAGCAGTGGCGCGAGGCCGAGAACAGAGTTCTGGGGATCGAAGGCGGCAGCTCCAGTGGCGGCAGCCCTTTCTGTGGCCACAGCTAGCCAGGGGAGGTATAGCTACGTCTCACCAAGAACCCGGCAGTGAGCCATGCCACTCTAAGGAGGGTGGCAAACTGCAAAGGGTAAAACCTAGGAATTAGGTAGCTACTGTAGTTAGCTAGGCAGTTCACTAGGTAGAGACGGCATGGCATGACAACAGCTCATGACCGCAGCCCCTTTTGCACAACCGTGCATTCAAGGAAGGAAAAAGGTGTCACTGTGTGGCAGCTTATCCAACTAGCGGGGTAGGTAACTTGTGAGAGCCCAATACGCTGACCACTACCAGCTTTGCTTTTGCAGCTTTCCAGCCGGCCTTGAAAGAACTCACCATGTATGAAACACCTTTTGTTGTCTGCTGAAGTCAGTCTGCCGGTTTAGCCATTAGCGTTTTATGACATCGCACAGCAAAAAACCTATCCAGTTTGAAGGAGGCTCAAAATAAATGGCATCGAATGGCAAACATCGCCCATCACATGGAAGGGATTCAAGACACAGCCACAACCGTTTGCACCACTGTTTGGAATGAAGAAATTACTCGTTGACTCCTATGTACCAATTTCCCCAGCCAGCAACTGATTCATGCACAAGAAAACCAAGAACTCTAAGATATATATTTTTCCCCACCTGCCAGGTGAGGGTTGTTAGATTTTATGTCAGTTGCCTCCTCCTCCTTCTCCTCCTCCTCCTCCTTCTCCTCCTCCTCCGCCTCCTCCTGCCTCGTCCTCCTCTCCTCCTCCTCCTCGTCCTCCTTGTCATCCTTGTCGTCCTTGTCGTCCTTGTCGTCCTCGTCGTCCTGGCTCAACTGCGACTCGCGATCCACAGTGTTCTCTGCCGGACCTCAACCACGACCACCCACGCCCAGTGTTCCCTGCCGGACCTCAACCACGACCATCCACGCCCAGTGTTCCCTGCCGGACCTCAACCGCGAGTATCCATGCCAAGTGTTCCCTGCCGGACCTCAACCACGACCATCCACGCCCAGTGTTCCCTGCCGGACCTCAACCGCGAGTATCCACGCCAAGTGTTCCCTGCCGGACCTCGTGTAGGAAGATAAAATGTCAGATAGAGTGCCAGAAGATTTGCCAGGTAGAATGCCAGAAAATATGCCAGAAGATATGCCAGATAGAAATGCCAGAAGATATTTCAGAAGATATGCCAGATAGAATGCCAGATAGAATGCCAGATAGAATGCCAGAAGATATGTCAGAATATATGCCAGAAGATATGCCAGATAGAATGCCAGATAGAATGCCAGAAGATATGTCAGATAGAATGCCAGAAGGTATGCCAGATTGAATGCCAGAAGATTTGCCAGATAGAATGCCAGAAGATATGCCAGAAGATATGCCAGATAGAATGCCAGATAATATGCCAGAAGATATGCCAGATAGAATGCCAGAAGATTTGCCAGATAGAACGCCAGAAAATATGCCAGAAGATATGCCAGATAGATATGTCAGAAGATATGCCAGAAGATATGCCAGAAGATATGCCAGAAGATATGCCAGAAGATATGTCAGATAGAATGCCAAATAGAATGTCAGAAGATATGCCAGATAGAATGCCAGAAGATATGCCAGAAGATATGCCAGATAGAATGCCCAAACAGAATGTCAGAAGATATGTCAGATAGAATGCCAGAAGATATGCCAGAAGATATGCCAGATAGAATGCCAAACAGAATGTCAGAAGATATGTGTCAGATAGAATGCCAGAAGATGTGCCAGTAAGAACATGTATAAATGTCATGGTGGGGATCACACGAAGTAAAGTAATTGTTTATTTTTGTTATTTCTTAAGTACCAGCACAAGACAACAGGCAATTGAGGTTGAAATCAATCAATGCATTTTAAAGCACCAGTGGTGCTTTCAAACATGTGGCCACTCAGTCGGCAAAATTTCACTCGCAATGACAAACATAGTTTCCGGAACAGGTGGCCCAACCACCAACCAGAAAACACTTAGTGGCTCTGCCACAAATTCCATGGCGCCCAGCTGTGCAGCCCATGGCTATTGCCACACATGCCCGGCGCGCGGCCCGGCGCCACGCGGCCAAGCGCCGGCGAGCGCGGCAGTGGTGGGGCTTGGGGCCTGCGGGACCTGCAGGGCCTGTGGGGTCCAACCCCAGAGGTCCACAGGAAGCTCCGTGCGTTGATTGCGGGGAAACTGCCAACTGCGCCTGTGGATTTCGTGCCATGGATCCTTTTCATCCCGTGTCTGCGGTGCTGGCAGTGACCCCCTTGGCACCCATGTGGCAGCCACTGGCTGGAAAGGGGGCTGCCTTTGCGGAGCTTCAAATTCTATCACCTTGCAGTGAGGGTGAGGTGATTGAGTTAAGGATGACCACGAGGGATCAGCTGGCGGTACCCCAACACAGGTGCCTACAGGGATGAATTTCAGTACTCCACAGTTGTGCGAAAGGTGTCACTAGCAAAAACTGTGGCTGATGTAAGCAGCAAAAAGGTGTTGACATAACAACACTATTCAAATTTTCTACTGCCAAAATTTTAAAATTGCCAGCAAAATCTGTGTGCTGACATCGAACAGGGTCAAGACACATTGGTTTGATCGTGTGGTTTCATCTTCTTAACACAGGTGGCCCTACCAGATGAAGATCCTCTTGGATGGCAAGGAAATCCTACAGCTGGATCCTCCCGAAACAAAACGACGGGAGGTGCCCCTGCAACTGGAGCAGATGGAGGTGGGGCTCGGCACGGGCATGGGACACGAGTTGGGACTAAAATCTGGACGCAAAGGGATAGGTGTTTCTTATCTTCTTTTAAGATACATATAATATGTATATGTATTATATATATATGATGCAGCCTCCCAGGTCCCCCCCCCCTCCCCCCCCCAATGGGTATGGGTATACAGGAGCTATGTTCCCCGCCCCCGTTAGTAGTAGTTAGTAGTAGTGAGTAGCAGTTAGTAGTAGGAATGGGTATGGATATACAGGAGCTATGTTCCCGCCCCCCCTGTGGGTGGGTAGGGGGGTGGGGGAAAAAATGTAAAAACAGTTGATTCAGTGAAGTTTTCTAAACTAATATCATAGCAGTATAACAAATCAAAATTTATTAATAAAAAAACATAACAGTCCAAAAAGCCAGTTTATATATTGTTAATTGCTTCATTTTTTCAACAATATCAAAACATAATTACCTCATTCAATTTTTAAAAATCATAGCAGTCAAAGCATACTTACCTCATTCAATTTTTAAAAATCATAGCAGTCAAAGCATACTTACTTCAGTCAATTTTTCAAAATCATAGCAGTCAAAGCATACTTACCTCATTCATTTTTTCAAATTCATAGCAGTCAAAAGCATCATTACCTTTTTCATTTTACAAAATCCTATCCATCAACCGTTCCTAAATTCCTTTTATGCTTCTCTGTTTTTAAATGTCTTGAATAACATTGTGCCTTCATTGATGAATTACATACATTACAAAAGGCAGCTTGATTGACATATATATTAAATTATTATTATATTAATTTGTTTATCGGTTTATTTATTTATTTATTTAAATACGAATCTGAATATATATATATATATATATATACACATGTATGTATCTGGAACATGTATATATATAATATATATATATATATTCACATATATGTATATTCACATATGTGAATATATATATATATATATTCACACATATATATATATATATTCACATATATATACATACATACATATATATATATATAGGAAGTAGATACATAGCACATGTATATATAACTATAGATAGCACGTAGGTACTTTGAGGGAGTATGTGTGCTACGCAGGTCGTCTAAAGGGTAGCATGTACCTAGTAAATGGGAGGCTGGTAGGCAGAATCGCTGCAAAAACCTAGCAAATACGAGGCTGGACCTCAGAAATGCTGCCAGTAGCTTGCAAATAGAAGGGAAGTGGGGGTGCTACCTGGGGACCCATCCCATTCGGGGGGGAGGGGGGGGGGACCTCGCGGGCGGAAGACGGGATCATATATATATATATATACATACACATATATATATATACATATATATATATACACACATATATATATATATATGTATTATATTTTTGCTATTCGATTACAATGTCCACCTTTTTTGGTAATTACTAGTAATTACCCAGTTTTCAGCTTTACATGCAAGGCACTTTCAATTTAAGGGCCTGCTAGTAGGACATGTTAGCTCCCTTCACCATGGTGCCCTGACCAGGCTGGAATTGTTCGACAGCTGCAGCTTTTTGCTTGGGATGCTCCGATGGGGGTGACGCCTGGCTGGGGAAAGCCTCGGGCATTTCATGGAGATTCGGCAGGAACGATGCAGATCTGTGACCATTGAGGTTGTGATTTCATAGAAAAAACCATACATTTCTTAATGCAACAGGCAGTTTTGCTCTTCCCAATCTGCGGTGGCGACTGGCATGAAGAACAAGGTTGCAACCAACATGTTTTTCCCCACCTGCCAGGTGAGGGTTGTTAGATTTTATGTCAGTTGCCTCCTCCTCCTCCTCCTTCTCCTCCTTCTCCTCCTCCTCCTCCTCTCCTCCTCCTCGTCCTCCTCGTCGTCCTCGTCGTCCTCGTCGTCCTCGTCGTCCTCGTCGTCCTTGCTCAACTGCGACCCGCGATCCACAGTGTTCTCTGCCGGACCTCAACCACGACCATCCACGCCCAGTGTTCCCTGCCGGACCTCAACCACGACCATCCACGCCCAATGTTCCCTGCCGGACCTCAACCACGACCATCCTCGCCCAGTGTTCCCTGCCGGACCTCAACCACGACCATCCACGCCCAGTGTTCCCTGCCGGACCTCAACCGCGAGTATCCACGCCAAGTGTTCCCTGCCGGACCTCATGTAGGAAGATATGGGACAAAGAATGTGCAGAAGAAAGTTAGAAAGAATGTCAGAAAGAATGTCAGAAGAATGCCAGAAGATATGCCAGAAGAGAAGATATGCCAGATAGAATGCCAGATAATATGCCAGAAGATATGCCAGATATGCCAGATAGAATGCCAGAAGAATAGAATGCCAGAAGATATGCCAGATAGATATGTCAGAAGATATGCCAGAAGATATGCCAGAAGATATGCCAGAAGATATGTCAGAATATATGCCAGAAGATATGTCAGATAGAATGCCAGAAGATATGTCAGAATATATGCCAGAAGATATGCCAGATAGAATGCCAGAAGATATGTCAGATAGAGTGCCAGAAGATATGCCAGATAGAATGCCAGAAGATTTGCCAGATAGAATGCCAGAAGATATGCCAGATCATATGCCAGAAGATATGCCAGATAGAATGTCAAATAGAATGTCAGAAGATATGTCAGATAGAATGCCAGAAGATTTGCCAGTAAGATAATGTATAAATGTCATGGTGGGGATCACACGAAGTAAAGTATTTTTTTTTTTATATGATATGTTTGAACAGGTCAGTGTGCCTCCATGGGAACGTATCATGATCCAAAGGATTGCACAACACACCGGATTGGTGGGTGCCAAGATCTCCCTCCAACAAAGTCATGCCATGTCATGCCCAGTCCAGTCACATGGCTCATGACACTGGCATTGAGGGACTGGTGCGCTGCGTGCGACATGATCCTCTGTGTGGTGCTGGTGAGGCCCAGGTGTGGCGGATGATCTAGTTCCAGCATAGATGGTGCCCACACGTATTTACTGAATTTACTGCAAGGGATTTTCTTCTCAGGACTTTTATGACCAGCCAATTGGTGATCCAAACTGAAAAGCTGGCCGCTGCTCAGGGGGATTTAGAAGACAAGCAACGAGATGAAATTTGAAGTGCAGTGCCTGACCTTTTTTCCGCCTGGTCGGCCATGATGTCTTGATGAAGACAAGCGAACAAAGTCTGGGGAAAATGGGGTATGCAAAGCTTTGGATACCTCATGATACCTCAGAGTGCCGGGCCTCAAAACAAACAACGCCATGACGACTCTTAGCAGCTTTGCAGGAGTGTGGCGGAGCTACTTGCAGAATGCCAGCAAAGGTCAGAACCTTGAGCATGCCAAAGACCAGTATTTGACTGATAAAACCAATGGTTTCCTGGGGATTTTCATTGGAAAACCAACGCACTGAAACAATGGAAGTTTGAACTGATCGATGCCTCAACAGCTAGGAGCAACAGCTAGGAGCAACCAAAGGTTCGGAGAGTTCAGCTGCTCGAGGCCAGACATTTCTAGAGAAAGTTCGCTACAACTGCAGAAGCAAGCAGCCAGCCAGGCCAGGCCAGAATGCTCGAACTTGCCAAAATAACTTTGCCATGAACTCCCTTCAGATAGAAACTACAAGGAACTACCATTTGGTGAATTGGGACTTGGACTTGGAACGAACTCATGGTAATGGGGGAACCTAACGCCATACACCATACCCGGTATTGAAACGGTTTTGTTTCAGCTTCAACGTTCCATTGTCCAATGTAACTACAGCATATATTGGATAGGTGTATCAGTACGTTCCACCAAGTACTAGGTCTACCACATTCATTCTCCTCGCGTGGGGTATACTGTATGCCGGTAAAACCATAAACTTTCCATATGGAAGGAGGTTTCCTACAGGGGCATTCCCCAAATCATCCAGATTAGACCACCCAGCACCAGCTGGAGGAGACGGATGTGACATGTGAGACGCCATGGGTGCTGCGCTTGAGATGTCCGTTGACCATGGAGCGATTGAGAGAACCAGCACGTGGCGACTCAGCAGGGGATGGCGCTGCGGATTGTCGTTGGTTTTTAGTGGTGAAGGCTCCTTACCTTTCCATCTTTTTGAAAGACATCACTTTTCGGTGCTGAAATGTGGTGAAGAAGTGATGCTTCTATAAGTCCCCCCTTTTGTGATCTCAGTGATCTCTACATGTCTCAATGCCTCCCAATTGAACCACCAAAGTGTGAGGCAATTTATTTGCCGTTGGTCCACTGGAACTGCCCCACGGGTACTTAGGGATACACTGCAAACACCTGCAGTGTGTGGAGCTGGAAGCTTTTTTAATCACAGCCTCGCTGACACAGTTTCAACGAAGGTAGCTCAGTTGCAATGATGCCGCGGGCTGGGCCATGGCAATGACGTTGGTGGGTGCGGTTTTTGTTCTTCAGATCTGAGGTTGCTGGGGCATGGAGAGTTGACAGTGGATGCGACAGTAGGTCATTGAACATTTCTTATTATCGCCATCGTCATCGTCGTCATCATCATCATCATCCTCATCCTCATCCTCATCATCATCATCATCATCATCGTCATCGTCATCGTCATCGTCATCGTCATCGTCATCGTCATCGTCATCGTCATCGTCATCGTCGTCATCATCATCATCATCCTCATCATCATCCTCATCATCCTCATCATCCTCATCATCCTCATCATCCTCATCATCCTCATCATCATCATCATCATCATCATCATCCTCATCATCCTCATCATCCTCCTCATCATCATCATCATCGTCATCGTCATCGTCATCGTCGTCGTCGTCGTCATCATCATCATCATCATCATCCTCATCATCCTCATCATCATCATCATCATCCTCATCATCATCATCATCCTCATCCTCATCCTCATCATCATCATCCTCATCCTCATCCTCCTCCTCCTCCTCATCATCATCATTATCATCATCATCATCCTCATCATCCTCATCATCCTCATCATCATCATCATCCTCATCATCATCATCATCACCATCATCCTCATCATCATCATCATCACCACCAGCTTCACGAGCACCATCAGCACTTCAACAGCTTCATGAGCACCATCAGCACTTCAACAGCTTCATGAGCACCATCAGACTTCAACAGCCATGGCAGGTAGAAAAGGTAGCTTGATTTAGGCTATATTGCTGCCAAGTACAAGCTAGTTCAATTGAAGTAGCTCATCATTGCAGGTAGTAGGCTACTGCCAGCTTTGCTAACTGTGCAGAGCTGGTTGATTTTCAGGTGGCGTTGCCCAATTTGCGACGCCTACTTGCCGCCAAAGCAGCTGGCAAGATGTGAACTCACGAGGACTTTGGGCCACTGAGCACCTTTTCATGTGTTTTTTGGTTCGGGAAAGAATTTGTTACTTTGATGTTACTCACAGGATTTTTGTGGCAGGGGCCCCAAACCATCGTTTATGAGGGCCGTTCCCAGTGAGAGGAACCTTCTGCATCACTTGGCTCCAAAGATGCAAGCGCCCTTAGATGCAGTGCTGGGTGTCGGAGTCCTCAGTGATTGAACCGTGCTGATGGTTGGCGATTTCATGGCTTCGGAGAGAGGTCTTTCGCATTATTTTCGATGTCTTTTATGGGATGACATGGGCAGAGTGTAGCAAAATCAGTTGGCTGGTAGTTGGCTTCAGTCTTTTAAAGATATCCCAAGGAACAATATTTTTAGCAGGTTAAGCCCCTGAGAAGCTGAGCCTACGATCCTTTCAAGCTACAGATAGGCTTCACAAACTTTTAGGAACCTGGGTTCCCAGGTGTGATAAAGGGTCAGTGTCTCTTTGATGTAAAGCAGCCCTTCTGATTTGTGTTCCCACTCAGGGGGATGAACATCCAGCTACTGTAGACCCCCTTTCAATCATTTTCAAGGGTTTGAAGAATCATGAAGTGTTGTGCTTAAATGAAAGTGCTTAGATGCACCCCTACCATCATATATCATCAACACTACATTGGCCATCCTCCGTTGAACAAACTCAACCAGCAACGGGTTTTTCCATCAAAACAAGTCATATGAGTTGCAATAGTCATCCAGCCTCTGAGTGGTGAATCTATCCTCCCATCCTCTGAGGCCGCCGGTCGTTTGCGGGCTGTGAGCCAATGCCTCAGAATACCACAGGAGGGTGAAATCCGGGTGTGGTGAAAAAGCTTTGAGGCTCAGGGCACCACAGATTTTAGCAATTTCCAATCTTCAAGCATTCGATTCTTCGGAAATGTGAAGCTTTTGCCTTCACCGAGAACCACGTGTGTTTGTCTATTGCAGAACATTGCGGATGGCCCCAATTTGCACAAAGGTACAATGTGATTCAAGTGGATGGATCCATGCAGCCTTCATCAAAAACCTGTCAGACTTGGTCTACAGCACATTCTGACATGGAGGCATCCACTTTCTGAGGCTCTTCTTGTTAAATTAACATACTTTAACTTTAAACGTTCGACCAGCTTTGAAATCACCTATATGAATGAACCACATCCAGTTACCTTTTATTCAACAGTGAACATGTCGCTTTTTAGTGGTGAAAATTGGTTGGTCAATTTTTGCATGAAACAGTGCCCAAGTATCCCAAGTCATGCTCAGGAGGGCCGTCAGGAACTTGTCCTGCCAGGTGGGGGTGTACAAACGTGAGACGCGACGTGCCAGTGATGTTTCCCTATTTCGAAATCACTTTGGCGGGTTGGGTGTATATACAGTATCATCATGTATCATCAGGATGGTATTGTATAAACAAGTTTCAAAATTACAGTAGATCAACATTTCTTACTGTTTTCGCATTGGGTGAGCTCCCAAGAGCATCCCCCCACCTTTGCACAGGGGGCAGGGCAGCTGGGGACGGCGACTACGCTGTGAGGCACGGGCGGCTTCCAAGCAGAGGATTCAATCCGTGTCAAAACCCAGACCTTGAAGTGTTCAAAAACGATGTTGGACCTAGAGTTACTATACTTTCATTATCTTTCATTATCTTTCATATTAAACATATTTATGTATATACGTATATATATATACACGTATATATATATATTATAATAATATATGCACATATCTGGAATATTGGGGATCATCCCCCATGATTTTTAATTCCGATGCATCACAGAGGATCAGGAAGCATCCCAACATTGTCCGCAGGTCCAGCATGGGGGCGAGCTGGACTGAACTGCAATGCAAAAAGATGGCCGCATGCCCTGGCAAGAGGAATTCCAGGCCTAAATTTTGATGGATTTTCTCCATCTATCGAGGATCTAAATATGAACTGGCTGGCCTTGTTCCAGTAGGTTTGTTGGAAGACCTTGGAAGACCTTGGAAGACCTTCCGACTTTGGCTGCATATGAATTACTGTATACCTGGTAGCATCCACATTGCTGTCCCATCTATGATTATCCACAATTATCCCCTAAAAATGCAGCTGGGGATACTTCCAAGTCCAAAGTGTAGTTGGTGTGGTTGTGTGGGCGTTTGTCAAAACTCTGGTACCCTCCTTCCTGTTCACAGCAAAATATTTGCTGAATGGACTTGATAATGATCTTCATCAAATTATCAGATATGGCTATGGCATTTTCGTGTATGGCATTTTCGTGTATTTTCATCTATTTTTTGTTAGGCACCCTCTGGTAATCAAACCTGGCTGGACAGTCCTCTACCTTTTGATGATGTTTGATCCATCCCATCCCGGGCACGGCACCACCATCTCACGGCACCGGTCCTCCGTGGCAGCGCTTCCTCGGTGGGACCGACCTCAGAGCCGACAGTGTCGGGAGACTTGGTGAAGCCCCGTTTTTCCAGGGCTAAGATGACATGGATCATCCAAATCCAACAAAAAAGAGGGAAAACTAGGAGGAAAACCATAGGAAAACCATAGGAAATCTAGAATTTCTTTAAATAACCATCCAAAGAGATATTTTGTTTTCCTGTGAATGTTCCTGAAACCAATTCTGAGATGAAGTGGATCAAAAACACTTGGTCCTGAGGTGGTGGGTTGGGGTTCAAAACTGTGTCCGCACTTGAGAATTTTCAACATATCACTAGGCTTCACGGTGGCGTGGAAAAGTTCCATTCAATCTATGTAGATGATTGTTGTGGGTGACGATGCCAGTAGTGGTTGCAATTACGGTACCATTTGTTCAGCCTTTGTTCAGCCATATTGCCTGCTACCTTGATTCTTATCGCATCGGGTAACATCGAACATAGTTCAGATACTCAATGAGTTGGAGCTAGCAGCCCCCTGGAACTACATGGAACTACTGGATTGGCGACGCGGGAGAAACTTCAGGCATCTGGCTACCTCTATATCCTAACATGAGCGGATACATGCGGATTCTTGTTGCTTTTGCATGCTTCTGGTTGACTGAGTTCACTGAAGCTGTACAGTGTTGAGTGGACCCGGAACAGGGAGTGGAAAGCTACATGTTGGAACTCCTGAGGCACCCGTGCGCTTAGACGCCAACGTCCGCTCCTCAATTTCGGACAGGTGGACATGTGGGCATGGAAACCTCACCATAAATGAGGCTTAGAAACGGGAATCTTGTTCTAATTTCTCAGATGGTTCAAAATTGCACCTCTGAATGTAGTTAGTGGTTCCGAGTTGAAACAGATCAGTGTCATGCTCGTGAGGCTCCTCCAGATCCGCGTCAAAAGCTTGAAAGCATGCGAAGAGGCGCGTTGGCCACGGTCTTTTACGGTCATGTCTTGGGTTGAAACTCCTTCGAGGGATGCCGAAAAAATCTACATTGCATTTCCGAATTTCCTATTTGCTGGGAGTTTCTCCGATCACTTCTCGGCATTAGAAACCATCAGAAACGAACAAAAAACAAACGCAAGACCATGAAAGCAAAAGGGATAAATAGATATTAATAGGTATGCAGGATATGGATAAACAGGGCAGATACTTAAAGAACATTAAAGAACATTAAAGATATAGATTTATCGAATCAATTCGGTTCGATCACGCTCCAGGTCTGGTGGCCGTGGGTGTGGATAGTGCCCTCTTTGAGAAGGTGGCGGGAAAGCTGGCGCAGAACGGCGATCTCGAACAGGTGGAAGCCATGGGGATACAACAGGTGGATTTCTCCAGAAAGCCTAAAAAAAACCAGCCGTTTCACGGTCATAAAGGTCATAAAGGTCCTACCATTGTATCCTACCATTGTATCCCCCATCATCCAACATATTCCCATTGGATCCCCCATTTTTTCATGTCTAACATGGTCTAACCGTGTTTTTCCTGCGAGAGTTCACCTGACATCGCCTGGAACACGCGAGGTTTGCGAGGTGCTGAAAGGCCGATTTTCGTCCGCACTGAATAGCCTGCAGTGATGCTGAAAGGGTGGCCCTTCAGGTGCAGGAGACATGAGAGAAGCCATGAGATGCTAATATTCTTAATTCTTGATGATATAGGATGTTCTGTTTGTATGATTTTTATAGACACATATATGCATATATCTATAATTATAGCTATACAGGGACGTCATGATCATTTGATGATCAAATAGTTGATCATGACAATTGCAACTCCGAATTATTACAATATTTGAGATGATAATGAAAGGCATAGCTGAGCAGTTTCATAAAAAAGACAGTAGTAGTAGCTTGCCAGATCGGCGATTGCTGGAATTCACCTGAGATTTGTTGGAGACGGAATCGGTGTTCCCCGTCAGCTTGCCATTCGATGGGAAGACTTGCGACGGAGGAGTTGTGTTTGGCGAAGAATTCGCCAGAATGCTTGTGCAGCATAGCATGCTTCATGTTTAATGAAGCAGAAAGACTCGTGGCATTTGCTGGCCGCAACGCGGCAAAAAGTTGGGTGGCCCAGCTGATTGCTGTTGAACCTGAGCATTTGCAAAACTTGAAGTATCCATGTGATCATGTTGCTGGCACAGTTGTTTCATGACACCGCATTCGGCCGAGATTTTTTTTGTGGCTTCAGTGCTCGGAGAGCTCCTTGCGTAGTTTCCACAGTTCCAGTGACTCGTTCGAACCAAAGAGTTCCGATGACGCAGAAATTGGCGAGCTCTGCGAGCTCGAGCTGGCTAACGAACAGTTTGATTTGTATGGCTTTGTACGGCTTCTGGGGTTTCCTTTCCAAACTGGCCCTGGTGAAGGGTTTGTCGGCCTCCCAAGAGGCGACCATCGAGAAGGTGGGATTCTTCATGCTGATGCCGCTGGTCATGAAACCATCTTCCAATGATAGCGGCAGCAGCAGCAGCATCTCTTCACGACCCAAAATGGCTATCCTGGCGGCCCTGATGAGTGGAGCCAGTGCTGCCGTGGCATCCCTGTTTTATTCCCGGGCCATGGCCGAAGGTGATGCTGGAGCTGTCTCGGCCTTGACGGCCAGCTATCCTCCTGTGACGCTGATGCTGGGGATGGCTTTTGGGGGAGAGACACTGACGAAGAACAAACTGCTGGGCTCCATCCTCACAGTGCTGGGGGCACTTTTCTTCGCGCGGAAGTGAGGGCGATGATCAGATGTTGTGTCACCATGGTGGGGCAATTACTGTACCCATCGTGCAATACGTTGGAACTCGATTGGAGAAATGAGAATACGGGACTTGATGATTTCCACTGGCAGACCAAGCAACAGCTTCTGCAGAGTAATATGTTGCATTTGAAGGCACCATGGATTTGAACAAATGACAGTTTGTTAGAGTATATAGACTTTTCGGGGAAAGTGCACAGGTAGAGGTTGATACTTGCATTCCTGGGATTCTTTGGTGAAACCTGTACCTAATGGATTCAATGATCATGTAGCTTGCCTCTGAAACTCCTGAAGTCTGTCATTCTTGGAAAGAGAACTCCAGCCCATGGTGACAAGCACTGGCTTGGCTGCAGCAATTAGTTCTCATAGGCCATTCATTTTGGGGCAGATGAAACCTTGGCCCCACTCAACACCAGCTCCAGCGATCTTCAAACGTCAACAGCGGGCCCAGAGAGTGACAGCATCTTTGGGATTAAAAAATTAGCAGGATCGAGGATGTTAATCAGCAAAGGGGAGGACATTACTGATAACTCATGGAACATGGAACTCAGCAGTCCAATACCTCACAGGGCAACATTTGTCTCCATGGCAAGTTGAAGCAGCGGCAGCACGACTTGGCCAAAAATGAGTCTCTTGACTGCAAGTTGCTGATGTCCTCGGCAGATCCAGGGACGGGTAGGCATGCGTTAGCCATCGTTAACCCCTTGTTGCGCATATGTTTTTCAACAGATCTTACAAAGGCTATGGGGGAAAAAGAGTGTGCATAGTGTGCCATACATTTTCTCCCCACTGGCTGTTCTCCTGCGCCGTCGATACCTGATACCAGGATATATGGTAGGTGAAACCATTTTTGGCGAATGCCAGGAATACTTTTTAAACTTCTATGATTCGTTTTTTTCCCCACCAAAAATCTGCAGTTGGATGTCTTTCGAAGCGTCGAAGCGGCCTAGCCAAGGCAAGTCGGTCTTTGGCGAGATTGCCATCCCCGTTGGCTCCCAGGCGGAGCAGATGTTGCCATATGGATCCGATGGATGAGGTCCATTTCGAAATGCTCACCCATGCTCACCCATGCTCACCCAAATATACAGTGAATATACAGTAATTTAGCAGTGAATTCCCACATAACGTGTTTCTTCTTGAAGGGTGAGCCCGAATATCCCAACCATTTGATAGGTATGAATCGGTATGAACAACAATTGAGACAGCACCCCTCTGAGATTGAGAAGATTTTCCACATTCGCACGGCATCAATTTTTTGTGCCTTGCTGGAGACACTCTCAACAATCTTTTCAACATACAAGGACACATGAAAGAACAGGAAACACACGAGGCATTCACCCGTGTTCTTCATGGATCATGGGGTGGTTGTGAGTAAGATCAACAAGCTAGGCTATGAGCAAAAGAAACATAGCAGCAGTTGGCAGGGTGAAGCAACTAGCAACGAACCAGCTTTGTTGCAACAAATGATGTCTCCTCTTTTTTGTTGCCTATCCGGGGGGGGCAGGGCGGACGCCAAAAATCAGAGCCATCCAATCTGGGTGATTGGATATGTTGTGACACTTGCTGGCAATGTTTTGACCACCTGTGACCACCTGATCATGGCATCGTCATACGGTATTTTAGTACAAAATGGAGTTTGAGGAAACCTTTTGGAAGCATGCGGTGAATTGCAAACCTAAATGCCAAAAACTTTGATAGGTGACCATCCCAAGTCTTTGTCAAGTTTTGACCCATACCCAACTGAGATATTTGAGCCACAAAAAAGGGTCAGTAACTGCGTCCCGATCCACGCCTCAGTTCCTCTCGGAGTTTGATCGAGTTCCGTGCGCGGGGCCTTTTGTGCAGGGTGTGGTGATGGTTTAGGGTTTGGGGTCTGCGAATCTCAACGCCAGCTGCTGAGTCACAGCTGGGGCTGGCAGGTATGGCTGCAAAAAGGTCAGTGTGCAGCCCAGTCTGAAAGAAATTTCGAAGCCACAAATCCCACGATTTTACCAGCAATGTCACCATAATGGGGATGGGTCAAACATCCATTTGCCAGCTATTTTGGTGTTCACCAGGATACCCATGTTGCTGCTCATGCGTTTGTCGTCGGCGAAGGGTCCCCTTTTCAATGATCTTTTTACTTTTATATCAATTAATCTACCCAATCTACAGAACCCACCAGGAAGACGCTTGGGTCTGACGCGTGACCATAGCCAAATGCAAGCAAGGTGTTGATGTTCCTCACAACAAGATCACTGGGCCAGAGCGGGGCTCAGTGCTTTTCCTGGACATTTCGATGTTGGACCTCACTTGTTTGATAAGGAAGTCAATTGGCAATTGCACTCTTAAGTTGCTGTCATGGACATCATTTGCATCCTGTGCGCAGTTGGTACATCTCAAAGAAAATCGAGCAGCCTTGTGAACTTTTATTGCCAAGTTGGGCGTTGAACCTACATTTGCATCCGGGCGAGCAACTTAAGCTATCAATATCAGAGCTCGAACAAAATCCCATCTGATATCATCGTGGCTGTTTCACCCATTCACCAAACTTTCATCCATTTTTCAGTATTTTTTCACCGATGTATAGCCTAACTTTGCCTATGTTCATCCACTTTCTGCCCCTCACCAAGCCGTGGCGATGATAGGTGGCCGACCTGACCCGGAACCTTTACTTCACACGACGCCCACGCCTCAGATGACTCAGATGACTCAGATGACTCAGATGACTCAGATGGCCGAGGGGTGGTCGCCTCGGTTTGATGGCAGAGGTGTGGCGGAAGATATGATGCACACGCCCAAAATGGATCCAAAGGCCTGGTGACTGATGACTGATGAATACTGAATACTGGTGGGGTTTGCTAACGTTAGCATTGTGCTCCCCCGTCTTTCTCATCTAACCGCCCACATGATTATACAAGCAAATTCTATGGGGTTAATACCAAAGACAGGGGAGCAACACCTTATAGAAAACAATAACATAAATCATAACAAATAACCATAAAACAAAAAAAAACAACAAAACAACCTAAACGATACAATAGACCATAAAGAATACAATACCATAAACCATAACAACAAACCATAAATTTACCCTGATTCAAAAGCCCGCCCTACATCTACATCCTCATCATCTTTTTTTGGTGCGCCTTGCAAGTTTATGCACCAGTTTTGCACTTGCAGGGCAGGTGCACACCCGCATACACACATATAATATATAAATATCTATCCCTTTTCTCATTCACCCCCCTGCTGTCAGGATTTCAGGTGAGAACAGCGCTGACGCGTCAGGGGTCGGCGGATTACCAAGGTGAATTTAATGAAAACAAATATCAACTATTCTTCAGTGCTTCGCACTTTCAGGCTGTCCCTTCTTTTTTGATATATAGATGTTTATGAAATATATTTGATATGAAATATATTTCATAAATATATTTTATATAGTAAAAAAAATAAACCCACCTCCCCTTACCCTTCACCCCCCTGAGCAGTTCCTCGGCGAGTTCAAGCAGAGTTCAGGTCTGGCGCTCCCAATAAAAACTATAAACCATCCCAACCCCTATTTTTTATTTAAAGGCTTCGCCTCAACCACAACCCAAAACACACACACACAACATCAAATCTTTTGAGACCCTCACCGGTGGCAAGGCGCAACTATCTAAAACACACAACATTTGCAGCAGTCATACTTTCTTCAACCAAGGCTTGAGGTATTCTATACAATTCGTTTTGACAATGTTTATTATTATCGCGTCCTCCTACTATTCTACTGCTTCCGCGTTGCGCTGTTTCTTTATACCTATTTCCATCCATACTATCACATTTTTTTTACAAAGAGGTCTGGGTGTCCAATTTTCAAGATTACACCAGAGCCTTGTGCGCTTCCTGTAATTGAAGCCATATTTACAGTAATCCACATCAAAAAAACGAAGCCCTTTCATAAAATCCTGCTCTTTCAAAAGTCCGCTCTGGGGATTTTCTATCAGCCATATTCGCGGTTTAAAGTAATTAATTATTTCAATCGTTTTCAAAACAATTTTATTAGCGTCATCAATTTTTCTGACACCGATAGTTTTAGCCCTACTGTAATGGGTGCACGGTGGAGAACTCCAGATAAAGTCAAAGTGTTTGACAGGATATTTTTTGTATTTCCATTCAAGTATATCGCAGTTTATATCAGCCCCTTTCAAATCTAATGACACAACAGTCCAGCCCATATTTTTACAAACAGTCCCCACACTGCCAGTTCCGCTGAATAATTCAAGTAATTTCATATTTATATATACATATATAAATATAAAATTTCATCTATTCACCCATCACTTTAAACACCTCACCGTCCCTTTCAATTCTATAAAACTCAAGTGTCTGGGACTTAGGCATTTTGATTTTACCTTCATTCAGCATTTTCAGATACTGCTGTTGCTTGGTTTCAAAGGTGCCTGCCGGTCTGCCGATTTTTTAGCCTCAAAGATTTTATCCATTCTCTCTTTCTCAGCATCAACATCATTATTTACAGCAGGTTTATTTTTCACTAATATATCAAGTTTTTCTAATGCCTTGTTCATTAAGTCCATCAGTGTTTTGACATTCTTGTTATACTTAGTCATCTTGTTCAGCATCTCTGACATTTCAGGCTGTTTATCATCTAAATCAGACATGGGGATGGGTCAATACCTATTAATACCATTTTTAGTGGGATGAACATCCATTTACAAGCTATTTTGATGTTCACCAGGGGTACAAGGTTTTGACACACTGCCACATTTCTATATGTATTTTTTTAGATATTTATTTATTTAGCAGTTGAAACTGCGTTAAAATCACTCCTTAAATAGTTTTAATCCATATCATTTATTGCCATTTGTTGTTTGCTACTGCTACTGCCACTTCTGAGTGTGCCCATTACATCACTTATCATCTTGTTTGTGCTCTCGGTTTTGTTGTCTTCTGGTGTAATTTGCCGGTTCCACGAAAAGCTAATGCTGTGGTCTTCACTTTCTAAAACTATCTCCCCGTTGTCATCCCTGCTGACATTCATTGTTTTGTCATTTTTACTGATTTTGAAACTACACGGATTACAC